TGTGTTCAATGAGAATAAATTTTTTAATTTTTTTTTTTTTTGTTTCAAATGTTTTTTTTTTGATAAAAAATTTTTTTTTTTTTTTTTTGTTATCTTCAACTTCAACGTGAATTTCGTGAATTTATTTTAGATAAAAAAAAAAGAATAAAAAAAATCACTTTTTTCCCCTCTCTTACTCACTCCATTGTTGTTGTTTGTTTTGTTGTTGTTGTTGTTGTTGTTGTTGATTTGAATCAATTTTTTTTCTCCCCCCCTTTGGTTGACCTGTCCTGTCAATCATTTAATTAATCTTTTTCTTAAACAACAACAACAACAAGGGAAAAATAATCAGAACATCATTTCCGAAATTTGATAAGAATTTCGGTAAGAACAAAAAAAAAACATGGTAAATCTTTGTGTCGTCAGTTTCGTCAGTCGTCGGTTTGTGTTATCTTTTTTTTTTTTATTTCAAACTTTTCATTTAGATAAAAGTTTTCCAAGAAAAAAAAAATCACAATTTTTTTTTCTTTGCAATGTTTGCAAACTATTTTTTCAAGTACAAAGATTATATATGATTTTGTAACACTATTTCCGTATCCATATAAAGTAAAAGTAAAAATAATGTAATGTAATTCAATGACTGAAACAACAACAAAACGATTAACCTTGAAATTGGATCATTTTTTTTCTTCTTCTTCTATTTAGCCACAGCAGCAGATGATGATAATGATGATGATGGCAAAAATGTATTTCTTTTCGTTTCTTAAATATCTGATTATTATGTGATTTGGTTATCAATCTTTTTTTTCATTTGTTATGTAAAAGAAACATCATCATCATTATTGTTGTATAATATCATCATCATGGTCAATTCGATACAAGGATATAATATGTGATGGACGACAACATCGATTACAAACGAGATTCATAGAGTAATGTAAATTACCTTCAAAATTGATTGTTGTTTTGTCAATGTTGTTGTTGTCGTTGTTATTCATCATCATTATAGTATTTGGATAACATTGTCAATCAAACATGGCCAAATCTATCGATCATCATTATCGACCATGGCATCTGTAGATTCCATTGAAAAAATTTTTTGTTTTCATTCGTTTTTCTCTTTGACATTATAATTTGAAAAATTCTTCCTACTAATTAACTAATTGGATTTACACAATCAATTTGATTAGGATTTTGTTTTCCATTGAATTTGCTAATTTTTTCAGGGTACATTTGAATTCAAATCAACCAGAACAAAAAAACACATGGATAAAACACATTGATTGCATTTTGGGTTTTTCAAATGTTTCTTCTGTACTTTTTCAACGATAACGGCGAACAACACTGCCTGCATTCCATAATCTCAGTGATTCACAGGGTTAATGATGATGATGATGATGTGGTAACGCTATTCGATTTTTCTCTCATGACTTTCTCTCTCTCTTGATCATCATCATCTACTGAGGCATCATATAAAAATCAGAAAAAAATAATCCTTTTTTTTAGAATGATGACAGTGTTAACAAACAACAAACAACGACATTTAGATTTTCATTCGAAAGAATTGTCATTCGAATTTTTTTTTTTATTTTCCTCACCAAAACATTGAAATTGAATCATTCATTCATTGATGTGTTGATTTGATGTGATGGTGACATTTGAATTTTAATCTTGTCAAATGATTTTGAAAAGCGTTTCAGTGAATGAAATTTTTTCAGTTTTCATCCACCAAATAACAACAACAACCGCCACACACGATTAATGTAAGTTTTGATTTTTTGATTTTTTTTGGAAAACCAACAAAAAAAAATCCATTTTTTTTCGCTATTATAATGATAATCGCGGATTGATTGATTCAACAATAATTAGTTTTTCGCTGAAATGAAATAATAATCCTTTTTTTTTTTTTGATTTATTTGACAGGAATTATGGCCATAAATCAACAGCATTTATCGTCCATGAATAAACTATATCATCATGATGGTGATGGCCACGGTTTGAGCAGGAAACAACAACCATCACCACCACCACCACCACAGCAATCATTGAATAATTATTTCAAAACAATTTTAAATCGTATGATGATCATATCGAATGTTGATGATAAAAATCATCATCATCATCATCTTCATAATAGTGGTAATCTGATCGAATAAAAACAAAAAACAAAAAAAAAATTGATTGATTATAATATTGATATTGTTTCGTTTACTTACTTTGTTTCGTTTTGCTTTGTTTTTGTTTTTGTTTGTTAATTTTATATAGATGAATTACGTTGTTCAACAACAATGTTATTAGATCCAATAATAAATGATGAAAAATGGAACATTTCGAATCAAATCAACAGCAACAACAATGTCCAACAAGCACCAACAACAACAAAATCAAAAATGTTGAAAAAATTTCCAAATTTTTTAACCACCAATAATGATAGTGGAATGTTTTCATCGTCGTCATCTTCATCATCATTATCATTAAATTCGTTTGGTAATAGTAATAGCAATGGTAGAATTAGTCAACAAGAAGATGATTTTCTTGAATTATCATCATCACAACAATCGATAGTATCGATTCGAAAACAATCTGTATTTCGAATACCTGGTAGTTTAGAATCGATTAATCTGGATGAAGATCAGGATTCGGATTCAGATTTTCTGGAACCACCGATAACATCACCATCGTCATCATCATTATCATCAACATCTTCCGATCAAATTGAATTATCATGGACATTATCACCATTATATGAACAAAATAGACCATCAAGTTTGAATAGTTTAAATTCATTGGATTCGGATTTACAAACATCAGATTCATTATCATCATTTGCAAATGAAACATTTATTCAAAGTTTACAATATCCATGTTGGAATGATTTATGTCTTTATTCGAATTTGAATCGTTTATTTAATCATAATGGCGATGATTCTTGTTCTGGAATGAGTAAATCATCATTATCATTATGTTCACGTTTTGTAAATCGTTTTGGTAATGAATGTATTGATATTTGTCGATTTCCATTAGTTTTACCTGTATTTCAAGCTGATTTATTGGAACGACGAAAATCCTTTATTACATGGAAACAATTAATACTAGAAGCTGATGCTTGTTTAAGTATATGGGAATTATCAGCATTAAAAAATCTTTACCATCGTTTTGATAATCAAACACAAACGATTGGTGTTGTATTGGGTAAACCAATCGATTGGATTCAAATTGATCCAAATTATCATCTTCGACAGATATGTCAACAACTCAAGAATCATACGGCAATTAAACAAGATAAACATCAAGTTTTAAAACGATGGTCATCGTTGGAAGATCTTTATTTTGGTAAACAAAACAATCAAACAGGATCTAATTATAAAACGGATGATTCGATCGATACAATCGATTGTTCCAGATCAAATCGATTAAAACAATCGAATAATCGAATATTATCATTATCATCGACAAAATTAAATAATCGAACGAAAAAATTTCGAGAAACAAAATCAAACAAATCATTTCGATCAAATACAACGTTTAATAAATTATATTCATCAATAAAATCATTGAATAATCGATCAGAAAAATATTGTAATATTGTTTATCGTGAATTATCATCATTATTACAATATTCATCCGCTGTTCATTTTGCATTATATGTAACGAAATTTCATCAAGAATATTTTCATCATCGTTTATCGGTAAATTTTTTCAACATTTGTACTAAACTTATTCTACCCAAACAAAATACTATTGTTGATGATAATAATGTTATTGTCGATTGTCTGTATGATTTATTGAAATTTGATGATATTGTTGTTGATGTTATTCGTGATCATATGTTTTGTACAAAATCAATCAATAATAATAATAATGATAATGATCGAATACGATTTCTAATCAATCTGATTGAATCAGCTTGTTTATTACGTCAACTTCGAAATTTTCATGGCCTACAATTAATGATCGGTGCTATTCAATCACCAAGATTATATTTTGATCATCAATATTATTGGCGTTTATTACAACAAACATATCCAATTCATTATCGGTACGTATCATTTTTTTGATGTGTGAATCACTAGCAAATCAATTAATTATCAATTATATTTGACATCATAGTGATTATCAATGTTTATCAATGTTTTGTCGACAATTATCATGTTCGAATTCAATGTTAAGCTGTATTAATTTCACACATCTACCGCCAATACATTCAATTTTAAATCGACTACGATTATCATGTGCACAAGCATGGAATATATACGATGCAAATATTCGTTTTACTAATGGACCATCAATGGCCAAATGGGTTGAAACACAAATCAATGATGGAAATCGAAAAAAATCAACAATAAAAAAATCAAATAAATTACAAGTAAATCTACAGATTGATTTTGCAAAGAAAACATTTTTACAAAAATGTTCAAATGATACATCCAGAGTGATAAATTTCAATGATTATCCACAACATATTGGTCAAAGACGTCGATATATTGGTACAATACCGGATGGTCATTTACGTTGGTTAATTCAACCAAAAATTTGGTCAACATTTGTTGAATATGAAGCAAATCAATCATTTATCGATTATGAATTACCGGATAAATTTTATTGATCATTATACATTTCTTTAGGACATTTTCTCTTTGTTTGTTTGTTTGTGTATAACTTATTGCAATATTTAAATTATTACAAAAAATTAAATAAATTATTTTGAAAGATTATTATTATCAGGCATTTGTAATAATAAAACTTAGATAACTATTTAGATATTTTCCTAGGAAATTTTCGGAAATTTTTCCCTTTGGACGTGTACCTTTTGTTGGTACTGCTTGCTTACATACTTTACCGGTTGCCGGAAATATTCCACGTGGACACATTATCGAACCAATACCGCCAAATGTTTTATCCATAAATGATCGAAAACGATCATTAGAATCTTTACCACATTTTTCAATAATCATTGTTTGTGCACAATCTTCCCATGTATTATGTGCACAACAAACAGAATCAATACGTTCATCAACCAATGTACGATTAGCAGCAAAATCCAATGCAGCTAAATAATCTGAATTACATGTGGATTTAAATTTTGTTGTTGATAATACTTTTCCATGTATACAAGGTGAACTTTGAAGGAAAACTTTGAATACAAAAATTTGAAAATTTAAACAACCTTTCTTTTAAAAAACAAACAAAAAACTTACCTTCACGTTCAGGACTATCATTACAAAATTTTTTCAATGTTCGTGTAAAATGTTCAATAGTAAGATCATAGATTTCACGTTGTAATGGTGTACCACATTTTTTAAAATAACTTTTTACACATTTCAGGATATCATCTACAGTTCTGATTTGGATTAAATTCGATTAATGAGAAAAAAATATTTCCAAGTTTCATTAACTTACCCACAAAGTTTATTCAAACCTTCGGTTGTTGTTATGATTGATGATGGATTTGGTCCTTTAGTCAATGTTTGTATTTTATCCAAACAAGAATCAACTTCTTTTAGGTGACAAATTTGTGAATCACGATGTCGTTGATTGGAACGTGAACGTGCTCTTGGTGAGGATGATGATGATGATCGGGCACCGGATGAACGAAAAGCAGCTAATGTTTGTTGATGACAACAGTAAACAACAACAACAACAACAATGAGCAAATCTAAACAAAACGAAAACGAAACGGAATTGAAAAATTTTCAAAGAAATCAAAGATTACTTACATTTAAAATGAAACATTTTGGAACTGAATTTTGGAAATTTTCTTCTTGATTTGAGATCTGAAAGTGGTGGATCGTTTTTTCTGAAAATCCAAAATCGAATGAAATGAATGGAATGATCCAGCAAATTCACAGACGTTCCATAATCGGTTCAACAACGAAAAAAAAAAAATCTTTTCAGCTGATCATTGAATGATGGTGGCCAACAAAACTGATTTTTTTGTGTTGACCATTTTGCTAAATGAACTCTTGCCCTGGATAAGTTTTGTTTCTTTTTCGAAGAAAAGAAGAAACAATGGCTGTTCTTTGCTTTCTCTGTCTCTGTGTTCTTTTCTGTTGTTGTTCACCGAGAAAAAAAACACCAAACAAACAAAAAAAAACGAAAGTAAATTTTCAAAGTAAAAGAGAAATTCATCATCATCATGGCCTGTTTTTACCACGATGATGATCCAAATAATCCTGAATCATTTTTCATCTTCATAACCACCACCGCCTAGTTCAATAACCTAGGTCTATGTTTCGTTCGAATTTTGAATTCGAACGAAAGAGAAGATGGACAAGAGAAAAAGACCAAGTCAAAGTACTTTTTTTTTGGATCAAAATTTTTTGGAATTTTCTTCTGCTTCCAATTTGGAAAAAAACCGGATTTTTTTCCCAAATTTTTCAATACTTTCGCCCTCCCACACACACACAAACATTCAAAGATAATCCACCAAATGGCTAAAAATAACTTTTTTATTCAAAAAAAAAAAATCAAAAAAAAAATCACATGAAACTGGTCAGATGATTTAGTTTGGTTTTAACGAGAAAAAAGAGATTAACAACAACGACAATTTGTGAGATCGATGTTCTTCCGTTCGTTTTTTTCTTCAAATCTTCAAATCTTCGAATTTCAATTACACCATCTTTCTTGTAAAAGACATTTACCAATAAACCATTTATCCTGAAGATAGGTATTTGGTCCTAACCATTGTAATGGTGATTCATTTGATGTTGATGGTATCAGACGTCGATTATGATATCTAGACATTTCTTCCATATATGCATCTTTTAAAATGACAATCATTTCTTTGGATAAACAATGATAACAACAATCACATAATTCTTGTTGACAAGTTGCTGTGGATGAATTCCCTGGATTACATTGATCACTGGAACAAATATCCGGCAGTATGGATAAATCTTTTGAATGAACAAACATATTCCACAATTGTTCTGGTTTATTTGACCATGTTACATAAGTGGATGGCATTCTTGTAATACCAACCAATGACATACAACTATAAATGACTTGTTCATAAATAAAACGATTTTCAGGAAATTTTGCTGATGCTAAATTTGGTGACATATTTGCTTCCATAAGATATACATTTAAATCCGTATCGATTGTAAAATCAAAACGTATTAATTCGAAAAAATTTCTCATATTCGTATATACGCTTGCTAAACGCAGAATTTCTTCTTCTTTCAAATAGAATATTGTTTTGATTGATTCTTCCATTGCCAACCAAATTGATTGTGGATCTTTTTCCAATTTCAATCGAATATATGAATTTAATGATGATTTCATATTCATATTCAAATCGGTATAATATTTTGATAATGATTGTATATCCCATATTGGTGTATAATTATCACCAACAACATATGAATCAATATCGGATGAATTGAATTGCGGTAATTTATCATTATTATCGCTGGTGGTGGTGGATAACGTTGTATATGGATGTGCACAAAAACGTAATAATGCTTCATTATCATGTATATATAAACGTAATGGATTCAATGATGTCATTGTTACATAAAGGCCGATGTCGAATTTTCTGTTTTTCGGGGAAAAAGATTTTCAAGAATTTTAAGACTTTAATATGGAAATGTCAAACAAAACAAACTTACTTTCCATCAATCAATAATGGATTTTGTATAAATTCTTGTACAAATGTACCTTGTTTTTCTAAATCTAATTCATCAATTGATAATACACGTATACCACGATGATTATTATCTTTTTGTACCCATAATTTTTCCGAATGTTCTTTACTGAAATTCAAAAATTCATTTTTTCCTTGTGGTAATATAAATGCTTTTGGTATATGTTTCAGGCCACTGGTAGCAAGATTAACTTTATTGGTTATAAAACCAGAACCAGGGAAATGATTAACTTTTTGAAATGATTTCAATACCGGTAGATTATAACTCGGTGTAAATGGATATTCATGTGCCCATAATACATGCCAATCACCATATTGTTCGAATGGTGGTGGTTCACGTCTGGTCCAAATACGAAAACCAATTTTTTGAAATAAATCAATTACATGATGAAGATAGCCAACTTGCATCTAAAAAGTCAACAAAAGAAACAATCAATCAAATCAATCAGTCAATCAATCAACCAATACAAACATTTTCACCATAAATCCATGCCAATGGCTTTTGTCGTTGATCATCACCATTATTATTATTATTATTTTGTCGTTGTCGATTCAAAGAATCGATTATCTTAACAATCGATATTTGTTGTTCCGATTGTAGTTGATTTATACGAATCGTATAGAAAAGAATAATACCGATTAATGATGGTAATAATATGCAAATTGTTAAGTTTGATATTCGAATCAAATTCTTATTATTATCATCGTTGTTATTCGATGCCATTTTGATGTTTTTCGCTGTTGTTTTCGCCATTCATTCATTCATTCATGTCTTTACTCAACAATTTCTTCTTCTTCTTCTTCTTGATGATCGTCGTTTGAGAAAAACTCCATGCATGGAGAAATTAGCCAACGTTGCTTATTATTATTTCTTTTCTTTTCTTTTCTCATTTTACCAGTCAGACTAGTTATTGTCCAGTTGTTGATCATCATTACATCTTCGTACTGTTGCTTAACATCAATGGACATTCAAATTGAAAGCTTTTAATGAATGAATGAATGAAAGTTGTTTAGTCGAGTTTTTTCGAAATGATGGCGTCCATCAATAAGAATTTATTCTGGATCATCCTTACTATCAATACGGCCCAGTGGTCTAGGGGTATGATTTGCGCTTTGGGCAACTATCCGAAATCAGCTTTGATAGGAAATCAAAATGATTTCAAAAGTTACAAACATGCGCGAGGTCCCGGGTTCAAATCCCGGCTGGGCCCAATGTATTAATTTTTTTGTTTTGTTTTGTTTTGTTTTATCCACGGAAATCAATCCTTTTTTTGAATTTTTTCTTCTTCAAATAGAAGATTATCTAATCTTTTCAAAAAAAAATTGAAAACGAAAAAAAACTCCATAATGATGGTCGGCGGAAAAAAAACACACGTGCTCATTTGATAGCACAATTTGGAACAATTCAAATACAACGTATTGAGCCAGCATTGTTTGCTTACTGCAGTGCGTTCGGTTCGATGTGTTTGTGTGTTTGTGTAAATCATTGGATTTTTCTTATTGCAAAACTAAATTCCGATTTTTCATTATCAATTTTGATCCAGAAGAAAAACAAAACACGTTTTTTACGAAACTAAGGGAAAAATTAATTCGAAATCATGTCGTCATCCTCATCATCATCTATTGAAACTGATTATACGACCGAGGTTTGTTTTTGTTTTTGTTTTTTTTTTGCCTGTTTGGATAAATGATAATTCTTTTACTGTTTTCTGATTCGAAAGATTAACAAATTCAAAGATGATATTAAAGCACGTGCCGAAGAATTGGTATTGAAAACATTTCCACGTAAAACAATTGAATTACATCGATTACTTGAAGTATGTGTGTTTTGAATTCCGAAAAGTTCGGTTAGTTAATTTTTTTTTTCAAATTCTCATCAATAGAGTCAAAGATTTAGTTTAAAAAATTTGGAAAAAATTAAACATGAAATAAATATACCGATACCGGAATATCCATATGTAACACCAGTACAATCAACACCAGTTACTGTTGATAGTAATCATCATCATCATCATCATGTAGATGATTCGGAAAATTCTTCAGCAACCGATTGTGATTCATCACCTACATCGCAGCAACAACAACAACAACAACAAACAAATGGACCATCATCGAAAAAACGTAAATATCTTGTTTTGACTGAAGATGATAATCGTATTGAAAATGATCAAAAATCATCATCAACAACGAGTGAAAATTTAAAAAATCAACCAAAACCAACAGATGGATCACGTGTTCTTATATTACCTTATGGTTCAGTACGATGTAATAAACATATTGTCGAATTAATCGATATTGTTAAACCATTAATTCGACAATTGGTTGAAGATACTAATCTTTTAAAAATGTGGGTACTATTTCTTATTCCACGTATTGAAGATGGTAATAATTTTGGTGTTTCCATTCAAGAAGAAGCATTAACCGAAATACGTACTGTAGAAGCTGAAGCTACAACTTATTTTGATCAAATGTCACATTATTTTCATTCACGTGCACGTATCATAACGAAAATTGCAAAATATCCACATGTTGATGATTTTCGTCGTAATGTAGCGGAAATTGATGAAAAAGAATTTCTTTGTTTACGTTTAACAATGGTCGAATTACGTAATCATTATGCATCATTACATGATATTGTAACAAAAAATTTGGATAAAATTAAAACACCACGATCAACTAATCAAAATCATCAATTTTATTAATGAAAAAAATGATGATGACCGAATGGACCGTTTTAAAATAGAAAAACAAAAAAAAAAAATGTCTTGTAATCAATCAAAATTTTGAAAAATTTTCAACAACAACAATTTTTGCATTCGGATTCTATTTTTTTTCCTTTTGTTTTCTCGCTCATTTGTCATTTATTTCAATTAAAAATATTCTTTTAATCGAATTAAATTAAAATAAAATCAATTTTTGATAATTACAAACATTGATATCCGGATTTTTTTTATATAAATAACTTTCCGGATGCCTATGTTATATGATTGATGATTCCAAATTTGGTTGATTTTTTTTTTGTTGTCCGGTGTCTGATTTTGTTTGATGTTTGTCGAACATAACAAATAATTAATATGTATCGATTGTTTTTTGTTTTCGATATATCGATTTGTCTAAAAATCATCATCACTTTTTATGGATTTGCCGTCGGATGTTGTTGAAAAAGAGAGAGAGAGATTTGACAATGTTAAACAATTTTTTTTTCTTCTTTTCAATTCATCAATCGATTCATGAAGTTACAAAAATTAATTGATTTTAACAGAATTTTCAAACGAGTACATTTTTTTGTTCTTGTTCCAATGAATATCAATATTTACAATAATCCAATATATTTGAAGGTTATCCAGAAGCAAAAATTGATTTAATTTATCTGGGATTTCAAATAGATGTTGATCTTGTTGTTGTTGATCAAGTTGTTGTTGTTGTTGTTGTTTGACAATCAATTTGAATAAAACTATGATGATGATAAATAGGCGATTATTTCATTTCATTCGATTGGTGGTTATGTTGATTTCATAGTAAAAAAATCAAATTAATAGATTTTGAATAAACATGATCTGGTTTTTGTTTTCTTGAAAAAAAACGAAACGAAGAAAAAAGAAAGAAAAAGTGCAAAAATATTAATATTTTTGAAGAAAAAAAGAAACAAAACGAATTGAATTGATTGAAAATTGTTGATTAATTTTTTGCTGTTGTTGTTGTTGTTTATGTGGTTTTGTTTTTATCAAGGACCAGAATTTCTTACATTAATTTTTTCCATAGAAATTCTTGAATCAACAACAACAACAACAAAAAAGTTACATTCTTGAAAAAAATTGCCTAGGAATCGAAATTCATGAAAAATGATATTTTTTCACAGCAAAACAACAGATCAAAATGATATTTACTTATGATAAAGATGATGATCACCATGATGAATGAATGAATGAATTGATCGAAGAGTCAATTGGATCGAAATCGTTCGATCGAANTGTTTGTTTCTCGTGCTCATTTGTCATTTATTTCAATTGAAAATTTTTTTTTAATCGAATGAAAATTTAATTAAATTAAAATAAAATCAATCAAACAATTTTTGATAATTACAAACATTGATATCCGGATAAATAACTTTCCGGATGCCGATGATTTTTGATTGATGATTCCAAATTTGGTTGTTTTTTTTTTTTTTTTTTTGTTTTGTTGTCCGGTGTCTGATTTTGTCGAACATCCCAAACATCCCAAATAATTAATATGTATCGATTGTTTTTTGTTTTCGATATATCGATTGGATTTGACTAAAAAAATCATCACTTTTTATGGATTTGCCGTCGGATGTTGTTGAAAAAGAGAGAGATTTGACAATGTTAAACAATTTTTTTTTCCTTTTCAATTCATACATCGATTCATGAAGTTATGAAATTAATTGATTTGATTTGATCATGAAAATTTAAATCAAAAGAGAGAGAGAGGGAGAGGAAGAAAATAAATGAAATTCTCTATGTAAGATGAATAATATCTGTTTTTCAATGGAATTTGTTCGATTTGAAGGCGTACATTTTGTTTTGTTTTGTTTTTGTTCAAATGAATCAATAATCCAATATATATTTGAAGGTTATCCAGAAACAAACAAAAAATTCTGGGATTTCAAATTGATGTTGATCTTGTTGTTGTTGTTTGACAATCAATTTGAATGATGATGACAAATAGGCGATTATTTCATTTTGTCGATTGGTGGTTATGTTGATTTCATCGTAAAAAAAATCAAATTAATTCATTTTGAATAAACATGATCTGGTTTTTGTTTTCTTGAAAACGAAACGAAGAAAAAAGAAAGAAAAAGTGCAAAAAATATTAATATTTTTGAAGAAAAAACGAAACAAATTGAATTGAATTGATTGAAAATTGTTGATTAATTTTGTTGTTGTTTATGTGGTTTGTTTTTATCAAGGACCAGAATTTCTTACATTTTTTTTCCATTGAAATTCTTGAATCAACAACAAAAAAGTTACATTCTTGATGAAATTGCCTGGGAATCGAAATTCAAAAAGAAAAATGATATTTTTTCACAGCAAAACAACAGATCAAAATGATATTTACTTATGATAAAGATGATGATCATCATGAATGAATGAATGAATGAATTGATCGAAGAGTCAATTCAAAATCGAAATCGTTCGATCGAATATATATTTATCACACTGGAAATTCGTTGGAAATTCGACTAGACCAAAAAATGAAAAATTTTAAAAATAGAAAAATTTTGATTCAAGAAAAATATTTAACTTACCAATTTGATTGCGGTTTCATCATTCATTCATTTGATCCATCGATCATTATTCTTTTGGGAAGGATGATGATGAAATAGAATTTTTTGCTGATTTTTTTTTCGGTTTTTCATCTGGTTCGAATGAATTTTGTCTGTTTGAATGATTTTTCATCATCATCATCATCATCATCATCATCAAAAGCAACAGCAATAAAATAAAAATAAAAACCGGTTAAAAGAATTCGGGAATTTTACTTTTTTTTACAAGAAAATTCAATACAAACATCCTTCCATCTCGGTTTTATTCGATAATGTTCTTTTTTCCTATTTCGATCCATACAGGTTCATTTTTGTCATAATCATCATCATTATCGAACGTTTTTTTTTTTGTAACATTCGAATGTTTTGGGAATGTTTTCTCCAGTTTGAATCCAAAATTTTGTTTGTTTTTCTTTTTAATCAATCGGATTATTCGGATTCAACTCGAACCCGAATTAATCATGGATCCAAACCAGCCAAAAATATTCTTCAAGGTCTATGGCATCGATAATGATGATGATGATTAAGAAGCCAACAACAACAAACAAACAACAACAAAAATGACCGACGAAAAACGATAAAAAATAACGAAGACGAAAAAAGAAAAATTTCAATGTCTAGACGCCATTATTATGAATGTTTTTTTTTGGGTAAGTGAATGAAATGGTATTTTCTTTTAATCATCAAAATTTTTTTTTATTAATCAAATCAAGTTAGTTAGTGAATGGCGCCAATAATCATCATATGATTAAATCATATAATCTCCTTTCTTCTTTATGTCTGATAACATTCGTTTTCTTCTTGTTCTTGATTATCTTTATTTTTGGATGGTGGTTTTTGTTGTTGGTTGGTTGGTTATTGCATCAATCTGACTGATTTGACATTAATCGAAATAATGATAATGAACTGATTCGACCGACTGATCGGAAATCCGATCAATCGGTTTTTTTTTTGGTGGAGGAATAATCCTTTTTCTGGCTTCATTTTTGAGAATATTTTTAGGTAGATAGGTTTATTCATAGTACCAATACTAATTCCATATAATGAATTTATGCTTGTTGGCTGATGATGTTTTTTTTTATTACAATTTCATTAACATTTTCTTTGATCAAATTCCAAAAACAAACAACAAAAATAATGTTCATCTTACGGTGCGTGGGATGTTTTTTGGTTTCAACATTGAACTTGATCAAATTTCCAAACAAAAAAAAACAACAAAATTTTTAGGTTACAAAATTTCGGACAATTTTAGTACACATTTAGATGAATGAATGAATGAATGAAAAACATTCAATGAGAAATTCATATGATTGGGTAATGTTTACGAAATTTTCGAAAAAGAAAATAATTTTCTATTTTCGGAAAGTTTCTTCTTTTTTTTCTTGATTTACTTCCTACATTTCTTTTATTTATTTGTTTGATTTGTTTGATTTTAATTCAAATTTTTTTTTGTTTGTTTCTACTCCCCATTTCTAGATTTTATTCAAATCAATTCAAATTTTTCAACCGGGAATTTTGAAATTTTTTTTGTTTGTAAAACAACAACAAAAATATGAATTTCATCTCCGATACGAACATCAGACAAACAGCAAACAAACAAGAAAAAAGGAAATTGGAATATCCAACATTTTAATGATATGTCTGTCTGTTGGTCTATGTTATGGCGTGAACCATGCCGTACGTCATCAAATTCAAAAAAAAGACACTCTCTTCGATGCGTTTTTTTTTGTTTTGTTACATTTTTCAAAACAAAACAAAGCAAAACTGTTGTGTAAAGAGCCTAACACTTTGTACGGCCAATACACACGTTTAATACCATTTGAAGAAATATTGATTGAAATGACTGAGTCAGTCAGTCAGTCATTTTAGCTTTTTTTTCAGGGATTTTTTTTTTTGATTTAGTTAGTTAGTGTGCGTGAAAGAAGAGATTTAAAAAAAAATACTGTGGCGGTGGTTACTGTAGTTTGTAACTGACTAATGGACAGCCAGCTATAGCTATAGCCAACCAACGATCAAATGAGATAAAAGCATCAACATTTTGATCATTTCGAATCATTATTTGAGTGAGAAAAAATATTCCAAAAGAGAATTTTAAACAAATTAATTCAACTTGCGTTTGTTCAACAACAACGACGAAGAAAACAAATCAGCAACCAAGCAAACTTTATTGTTTCATCGAATTATAATTGAATTTATCAAAATCATCAATCATGAATATGGATACCGTTACTTTCGTTATTACAATGATGATGATGATGACATCGATTTGGTCATCCCCGATCGTTATTCCAAATGATAATAATAATGATAATAATAATAATAATAATGAATCATTACAGAAAATCGAATCAATTGGTGAAGCATTTCGACGAAAATTAACCGAAGAAGATAAAAATGAAAATAATGGTCGTATAATGATTGATCATTTATCATCGAATGAAGATGTTGAATTTAAACGAACTGGTAAATTACCCATTCGTACACAATTATTGATTGAAAATTTTCTGCTTAATACACCGGATGGTAGAAAAATGTTAGAACAACAACAACGACATCAACCATCAACACCTATACCGATAATATCAATGGATCCGATTGTATCATTAAAACCATATGATCGTTATGAAATTATTCCGGAAAATGGTAATAGTAATAGTAATGATGGCAATCCAATGATTATAACAGATGAACATGAATTTCAACAACAATCACCATCACCATCACCATCACAACAATCATCAAAAATATCAACAACATTGATTAACATTGATCATAATAACGATGGATTGATTAATCAAGATCAAAATAAACGGTGAATTGTTAAAGCAGACAGACATTAAGTGCTGTAATTGTGTGGTCCGGGAAAACAGTATTAATTTCTATTTTCATTATTCAATCAACCACAACAACCAATGAAAAAAAAAATTCTTTGATCTCTTTTATCACCAATCAACACACATTATTATTCAATGATGATGATGACGATAACGATGGTGGTGGTGGTGGCAATTATCAAAATGCCAGAAATGGAACCAGAAATTCAACAAAAAACAAAAACAAAACTCATCAATTTGATTATCATTCATTTCATATTTAAATCATAATTAATATATTCTTTATTTGATTTGATATTTTACAAATATAATTAATTATTTATTATCATTATCATTATTACTATCATTATCATTATTATAATTATAATTATTATTTAATTGATTTTATGTTTTTAATTTACAAAATTATTTATCTCAAAAACAAAAAACAAAAAATCTTGTGTTTGTGCATCATTTGTGTGTGTTTGCTTGTATTTCACACACACACACACACACACATCAATTTACAATTTGAAAAATTATATTTAATCTAAAATGGATGATAATAATAATAACTTATTAATATAAAACAATCCAGATTTGAGAATTACAAAAAAAAAATTCTTTTGATCATTTTTGATGGTGAATGATGTGTTTTGGGGAAAAACTTCTTTGATTTTTTACAAAACAAAATTCACTTTTTTTGGTTGTTGTTGTTGTTGCCTATCCAAATATGAAAATGATTTTTAACTGTTGACAACGGTGCACGGATAAAAGAGAAGACTAAACAAGAAATTTTGAAATTTTTGTTTGATTTTGTAGAAAAAGAAAAAAAAACTAAATTTGGTTATTTAAAATAAAAATTATTATGACGTTTTTTCAAATGTTGGGAATTTGTTTCCGAATTTGATTGATTGTTTTTTGTTGTTGTTGTTGTTGTTAAATTAGTTCCGATTCGAATCCGGCTAAGTGATAATGATAAATTTGATTGATCGATTGATTTGATTAATTAATCGAGCGTCATCTAGTTTTTGCCAATACCATCAAACAACACCAGTGATCGGTGGACAGGATAATTTATCTACAGGAATTTATTATTATTATTGCTACCAATTGCTTCTTCATAACTTGGTGGTCGATCATCATCATCATCATTTTGAATGGTCATCTGTAATACAACATTTGATGATTGATTGTTTTCATTGATATTCATATATGATGATGGTGATAATGGTATTGGTCTAATGTTGTTGTTGTTGGCGGTGTTTGTAAATGATTTTTCGGAATAATTTGGTGGCTGCATCGTCATCATCATCGGTGGTATCAATGTTGGAAATGATTTTATCGATGATTTCGCTGATGATGATGATGATGTTAATTTTGTTGATTCTAACAATGGATTGGCAATTATCTGCTGTGGTCCATAATCATCATCATCCAAATCGTTATCATCGTTTCGAATTCGATATCCAAGTATTCGATCATCATCATCGATATCGATATTACGTTCATCACTTAAATTTTCAATAAAATATTCTAAATTATTAGCAGTTTGATTGATTTCTGTAAATAATTGTGATTGTGCTGAATTCAATGTTTCCATCAATAATTCTGGATTATCATTAGCAGCAGCAGCAATTAATAAATCCGAATCAATTGGATCGATAACTAATTCTGAATCAGAATCACTACCATAACAATAATCTGGATCATTAAAATTACCGAATAATGTTGTCATTAGATTCGATGCTATTGATTTGGCATTCATTGTTGATTGTGATCGTCTTCGTTGTCGTTGTTGTTGATTACGTAAATAATTTGATCGTCTTTTTTTCTGTCGATCATTTGTCGACAAATCATCGTCATCATCAACAACGAAATTATCATCTAAATGATGTCTTCGTGTTGATGACATTGATAAATCATTCGAAATTTGTATTTCTTGATCATAATTATCGATCGATGATGATAATGTTGGTGGATTATGTTGACCATTCAATGTTGCCAATAATAAAACAATAATAAATATTGCTGCAGCCGAAAATAATAATATTAATAATTCATAAATAGTTTTGATTGTTGTTTGTACATCAATATTATACCAAATACAATATGCACCGATTAATAATAAAAATGAATAAATCGGTATTACTAATAAACAACATTTAAATAATAAATATGTTTGCCACCAATAATTTGCCTGATCACAGATTTTATTATAATATATTCGCGAATAAAGATAACAATTTTGTAATAAGATCCACATTTTTTTCTTACAAATTTTTTTCACTTGGATCAGTAACCTTTTGTTGTTTCAGTGTTTTTTACCTGTGAAAAAAACCTGCGATTCTTGTTTTGTTTTTGGTTTTTTTTGGATCTGGTGACGAAAACAACAACAAAAAAAATGTGATAAAAATACTCATTCGAATCGAACGCAAAGAATTCAATATCGAGATTCTATATAACAAGTTTGGCTGAACAGACCCACCACCACTTCTATATTTGGCGCTCTCTATATAAATACTCAAAGAATATTCTGAATTTTTTGAATGCCGGTAAAATACCAAAAGAATATTCTTCCTTGGTTTTTTCTTTAAAATTCATTTTTTTATTTATTTAATTAATTATCAGTGCAGAGGTAATGTTGTGTTTATTGTTGTTGTTGTGTTGATTTTAATTATGTTTTTTGTTTTCAAATTAATTAACATTTGTTAAATGTTTTTTAGTTTTTGTTTGTTTAAGTTATATGTAAATTGTAATTTGAATCAGGTGCGCTTTTCTTTTCGGATGATGATGATGATGATGATGTGTGATATATCGATAGAAAACAGGATGTGCATTAGAATTGAATGGCGATAATGATGATGGTCAAGATGATGTTAAAGTAATGTTGCTACTGCTGTTTGTTTTTTTTTCCAATTTCCTTTTCACATAAATCCACATCAAATTTTTATGATCGTAATCGTACATTAGCTGGACAATATTCAGCATATTCTTCCCATGAACAACCATCTTGTCCATGACAACATTCATCAGAAATACCACGTTTATTACGTTGTCGTTGTTGTTGTCGTCGTCGTACGGCTATTAAACCATTACCTAAATGATCAAAATCATCCATATTATTGTTATTGTTGTTGTTGTTATTATCACTATTTAAATCACCAGATAATTTTTTAATAATATTATTATTTTTATAAATATCCATTACAGCCATATCGTTATTATTATTATTTGAATAATAATGATTTTTACGTAAAAAACGTTTGAGCTGTTTTTGTGCAAATGTATTTGCTTGTTTGAATGTTAGATATTGTCGATTTTGTTGTTGTTGTTGCAGGTCATCATTTTCCATTTTTCCATTGTTTGATTTTCGATAAATTTCTAAATTGTAAGATTAAAAAAAATTAGAGATTTTCAAATCAGAATTTTTAAAAAAAGAAAAATTACAAATTACAAATTACCATTAACATTATTCAAATTTGAACGTTTTTTTCGGCGACGATTTAATTTATAAATATCTTTGTCACAAACAAATTCCATATGTGCAACAAGATCATGACGACAACGACGATGTCTTTCATGATGCCATAAATTTCTCCAATCATCAGCTGATCTTGAATGAAATATTTCTTCCCATTCCTGTAATGAACGATTATTATTATCATCATCATCCAATGGATTAGTATTACGGCCAATTGATTCATTTTCACCACCACCACCAACATTAACAGCATAAACAGTATCGGTCATCATATTTGATGACCAAATCAATATAAATACAGCAATCAATATTGAAACAGTTAAAATCGATGATGATGATGATCGATATTTTTTACCATTATAACCATTTGCCAATGTCATACAACGATGATTTCGATTTATACCAAATGTTTTATTGTTTTGTTTTTGATTATCAATGGTTGTTGTTGTTAAAATTGGTAATAATTTCGCTGACCAATTACTAAAACTTGAACTACGTTGAAAACGTTTATTCATTTTTGAATGATAATGTTTTACAGTTGTTTCAATTGAATTATTCATCAATAATGATGATGATAATGAACGATATTTATTATTTGATTGTTTATTTTTATATGATAATTTACGTGATAATAATTTTTTACCAATACTATTATTATCAATTATTGATGATAATGATGATGCTGATGATGGTCGATCCATTTGGATTATTGATTTTTTTTCATCACCACCACCAATATTATTGTTATTGTTGTTAACGTTATTACCAATCGATTGTACAAGATCCGAACAAGATCGTATTAATAAATGACCAACCGGTATCGTTGAATTTGATTTTAACCACCATCCACCATGATGATGATAATTATCATAATTATTATGATTCGATTTTAAACGATTCATTTAAGATAATTTGCTCAAAAAAAAAGATACATTCAGCCACAGAATTCAACATTCGAATCGAATATTGAAAGAACAAAGAATATCAAACATTCGATGATGATGGTTGTGTTTATATAGTCGTCGTCGTCTATCGAATTCTTTGTTGTAAATCGACGGAAACGTTCGATTCCAGAGCAAGTTTGAACTAAAAAACAAAACAAAAAAACAGAATTCACCTGACCAATCAACATAAATCATCATCATGTGTTTTTTTTTGGTGTCGTGAACAAATCCATTACACTGGTAATTTTCATAAAGTACTATTGTCCTATTTAGACAACAACAAAAAAAACATCCTGATTATCGATCGATCGATAAATGATTAATGGATTATTCATCCGAATAATCGTCGATGATATGATGTCATCGTTGAATGAAGAGGAAAATTGAATTTTTTTTTTTTTTTGGAAATTTATTAAATTGATTAGGCGTTTGATGTATAAATGTGTGTATGTTTTTATGAGTGGTGTGTGTGTTTGGGTTAATTTTTTTTTTGTGAGGGGTTAAATTTGCTGAATATTTTTTTTTCCAATGATAATGATAATTGGGTTTGTTTTCGGGGTTAACACAGACTGCTTGTTTGTTTGTTTGTTATTCGTTATTATTATCCATCCGGATATGACGCTGATGATGATTTTGAGGTATTATTAGTTTGCTGTACATTGTATTGATGATGAGATGCATGTGGTTGTTGTTGTTGTGATGGTTCAACAATGAAATTTATTCTTGATGTTGTTGTTGTTGTTGAGGAAGTTAATCGTGGATCATTTCGATGAAAATAATTATTACCAACATTACCGGGTGGATGATGTTGTTGTTGCATATGATGATGCTGTTGTTGTTGATGATGTTCATCGATAACATTTGTCCATATTGTATTCGGTGGTGGTGGTGGTAATTGTTGTGATATCGATGATGATGATCTTAATTGTTGTATCGATGGATGATGATGATGATGATGATGACAAGAATCATTTAATGTTTGATGAAAATGATGTTGTTGTTTATTATTTGATTGATCCTGTACAATAATATTATATAAATTATCATTATTTCGTTTATTATCAGATGATGATGATGATAATGATGTTGAACTATTAAATTGATTATGTTGTTGTTGTTGTTGATGGTGATTCGGTAAATTTGTATAGTTCGAAGACCTCGATGCTATTTCGACTAATGTTGCCGTTGATGATGATGATGTTGATGAATTCGAATGTTCTTGTTTGAGTTCGAACGTTTGCTGTTGCTGTTGTTGCTGTTGCTGTTGATGTTGTTCATGTTGCTGTTGATCAACCATTAATTTCATTCGTTTTAAACGATATTTTTCCTTTTTACGTTTTCGTGCTTCAATTGGACTATAATAATATCCTGTGTGTTTGTCGAATAAAAAATTGAATGATTATTAAAGGTTTTTTGGATCTGAAACAACGTATAGGAAATGTATTCAAATTTACCTGGATATTTATTCTTATGTTCATTACTATAATGTATTGCCAATTGTTTATAATGTGTACGACGATCTTCCGGTAATTGTCTCCATTCATAACCAAGCTGTTTACTTACTTCTTTATTTGTCATTCGTGGATTTGCATACAATATTTCACGACGACGATTTTTTGCAAATATCATAAATGAATTTGGTGGACGACGTATTTTCTCTCCGGTCAATGTAAATGTTCCATATGCTTTTCTTTGTGTTGTTGATTCAGACGACTGTGAATCATCCAATATTGTTGTTGTTGTTGATGATTGTGATTCTAATTCTGATGATTCTGATTTTTGATTTTCTTTATTATTATTATTATTACAGAATGACGAAGAAGCTTTTGCTGTTGCTGCTACAGGTGGTTGTTGTTGTTGATGCTGTATCCATTGTTGTTGTTGTTGTTTTGATTGATTCGATGATTGTAAATGATAATTAGAAGTAGATGTTTGCATAGGATGTTGTTGATAAGATGATGATGATGATGGTTGGGGTGGTAGGGGTGGTGGTAGTTGATAATGATTATATGGAATGGCCATATAATTATATGGTGATGGTGATGATGTTGATGATGTGGAATAATATGGATGATTATCACCACCACCACCACCACCATGATGATGATGAATTATATATGGAACTGATGTTGTTGATGGATATTGTTGTTGCTGTTGCCGATGTTGTTGTTGTTGATGATCATGATCAACAACAAACGAATGATGAACATTGGTCGGTGGCTGTTGCTGTTGATAGAATCGAATCGGTGGATAGGATGTAGATGGCGCTGCTGTTTGTTGTTGTTGATGATGATGTAAATTCGAATCAACCATCATCCACATCATTTTTCTTTGCCTTTTACTATTATCGTTAATAATTTCATTATCATCACCACCAATACCATTATTCGTTTGTTGATCATGATTCGTATGAATATTGGACATAATCATTAATTTCATTTCATCATTATCATCATTATCATTATCATTATTATTATTTGTCAAATTATTCGATCGTTGGTTTGTTGTTGTTGTTGTTGTTTTGGTTGTTGAATGTTTATCATCGTTATTATTATTGTTGTTGTTGTTGTTATTATTATTATCATTATCATTATTTTTACGTTTACCATCCAAAAAATTATTTGTAATAATATTTTTCGTAATATTATCATCATTATTATTACCGTCATCATTATTATCATTATTGTTGTTGTTGTTGTTGTTGTTGTTGTTGTTGTTGTTGTCAATATTATTATCATTATGTTTATTATTATTATTATTATTGAATAGATTTTTATAATAATCTGATTCCATTCAAAAATTCCCCCCAAAAAAAAAAATATACTAAATCAAGAATATTCGAAAACACTTCTTCTTCTTCTTCTACTTTTTGTTGTTGTTGTTGTTGTTGTTGTTGTTGTTGTTGTTGACGAGGTTAACCCAACGTACGTTTATTTTATTTTTTTTCTTCCGTAAATACGTAAATTCAATATATGATTGTTTGTTTATCCTTTTTGTTTTCACTCGATAACATCCAAACAAACAAAAAAAGACCAGGAAAAAACCAACCAGACCAACGATTCTCTTCTTTTGTTTTTTTTTGTTTTTACCAAAGACTTTTTGAGACTGTTGTTCGTTGTTGTGTTCGGTGTTTCGAAGAAATCGTCGGCGGCCAATCAACAAAAAAAAATTGAATTCGAATTAGGAATAGGAAAAAAAAACTTTTTTTTTTATTTTCAAAAACTTAACCATTGATTTGTTGTTTTATATGTTGTTTCGAATTTGAACGGATAATTTAATTTTTAAAATTTAAAATTTAAAAATTCAAAAAATTAAAACAAAAATTCACTGTTTACATCCGGCAAAACAAATCAGCAATGCAAAACATAACGCCATCTTGTGCCGAAGAATTGAGTAATCTTTTTTCGATACTATCGATTATTGATGTGATAACCAGAAAAAAACAGAAAATCCAAAAAACGTCCATCACTTATCGGACCAATTGATTCAATTCAATTCTCTCTCTCTTTGAACATTGTATCTTTCGGAAAATACGAAAAAAGCTACTGCTGCTGCTGCCACTTGGTGGGTTTTTTTCATTTCTTCATTTGGTGATGATGTGTTGATGTTCTTTTGAACGAAACATTCGATGATACATCTGGTTTCGGTCACATTCGAACATATCTCCTTTTTTTCCATCATCATCATCATAATTTTGATTCAATAAGATTTTTCGGATATTCTTTTCCTAATCTATTGGCCAATTTTCTATTTTTTGTAAATACTTTATTTGCTTGTTTACATGTTTGCTCGTTTGCCCGTTGTTGTTGGCGAATTTTTGTTTCTTAGTTTTGTGATATCAACATCATCGATTTGAGATTGATTTGCACACAAACAACACCCCTCCACTCAATCATCCAACAGTCGTACTCACAGAAAAATCGAACAGGAGAAAAACAATCATCAAAACATCATGTCCAATCAATCAATAACAAATCAAGATTATGAATCAAATTATGATTCTGGTGGTGGTATACAATTGTCAAATAATGATATGTCTTATGGTTATCATAATCAAACAAATTCCAATTCATTTGGATCATCAACAACAAATTCATTAAAATCATCATCCACATCATCAACAACAGTGAAAACATCATTTTTTCAATCTTCAAATCAGGTGATTTTTCTTGATTAATGTTTTTTTTTTCTAAATTCTGTTTTACATTTTTTGTTTTGTTTACAGTCGAAATATGAAGATTTAAAACAAATGCTAGAAAATTCAAAAGAATTATTAAAATTAGAAGCAATGAAACGTATAATAACAATGATTGCAAAAGGTAGATCAGCTGAATCGGCAAGAGAATTATTTCCACATGTTGTTAAAAATGTTGTTACAAAAAATACTGAATTAAAAAAATTAGTATATCTTTATCTAACACGTTATGCTGAACAAGAACAAGATCTAGCTTTGTTATCAATAGCAACATTTCAACATGCACTTAAAGATCCAAATCCATTAATACGTGGTTCAGCAATTCGTGTATTAAGTTCAATACGTGTACCAATGATTTCACCGATTGTATTGATTGCTATAAAAGATTGTGCAAATGATATGTCACCTTATGTAAGGAAAATTGCTGCACATGCTATACCAAAATTAGTATCATTAGATTGTGATATTAAAGATGAAGTAATCGATATTATTGCAAAATTATTAGCCGATAAAGTTAGTTTGGTACTTGGTTCAGCTGTTGCTGCATTTGAACAAGTTTGTCCCGAACGTTTTGATCTTATACATCAAAATTATCGAAAATTATGTCAATTATTGGTTGATGTTGATGAATGGGGACAGATTATTATTATTAATATGTTGGTTCGTTATGCACGTACACAATTTATTAATCCAAATCGATCATCATTATCATCATCAGCTGGTGTTGATCCTGATCATATGCTTCTAATACGTTCGGTAAAACCATTATTACAAAGCCGTAATTCAGGTGTTGTATTAGCCGTTATACAGCTATATTTATCGGTTGCACCACATTTTGAAATAACAGCATCATTAGTACGACCATTAATACGTTTATTACATTCACATTATGAAATTCAATTGATTATATTGAAAAATATTGTAACATTAACATCGGCTGAATTTAATCAAAAATGGTTAGAAGATAATGGACTTATTCAAAATAACCAAAATACGAATAACAATAATAAATCAACAGCTAATGGTGAACAATCATCATCATCACCATTATTATTATCAACAGATTCTGATCGTGCAAAACAACAAAATGGTGATATTCAAAAAGATGGTGATAGCGATGATGATGATGACGATGACGATGAAGAATCCGATCATCATCACCAATCAAATAATCAAACACCAATGATGATTCGTACGATAAAATCATTATTTGAACCATATTTAAAATCTTTTTTCGTCAAAGCAAATGATAGTACACAGATAAAAATATTGAAATTAGAAATATTAACGAATCTAAGCAATACAGGCAATTATATATCGTTAGTATTAAGAGAATTTCAAGCATATATTTTAAATTATCAAGATGATTTAGAATTTATGTCGGCAACAATTGAATCGATTGGTCAATGTGCATCACGTATAAAAGAAATTGCACCAGTATGTTTAAATGGTTTAGTATCATTATTATCGAATCGTAATGAAACAATTGTTGCACAAAGTATTGTTGTTATACGTACACAGATTATTAATAAAGATCAATCAATAATATCGATGATTGTTAAACAGATTGTACGATTGATGGGAAAAATTTCACAACCACAAGCCCGAGCAACAATTGTTTGGATTGTAGCTGAATTTTGTCATCGTAATCGTCATGCACGTCGTTTAGCACCGAATGTTTTATTGCAAATTGCTAAAACATTTTGTCATGAACATGATCTGGTAAAATTACAAGCATTAAATTTGGCTGCAAAATTATCCATTACAATGATCAATGATGATGATGATGGTGATGGTAATTTTGGTGATAATATTGATGCCGATGATGATAAATTGGAAAAATTAGATATTGATCGTGAACGTCTTCGATCATTAATAACATATGTTTTTAATTTAGCAAAATATGATCTTAATTATGATGTACGTGATCGTGGTCGTTTTCTTAAACATTTAATCGGTAATCCGCAGCTAGCTAGACGTATTTTATTGATGCCTAAACAACAGCCAAATGTTTCACAAAGTAATCATTTACTTGTTCAACAACAACAACAACAACAACAAATTAATGCTGATGTTATAATGGCCGATCAATTACCATTATCATCACCGGCAGCAATTCATCAGCAAAACTCATCATCATTAATATTGGCAAGTTCGAATGATTCAATTCGTTATCGTTTTGGTACATTATCACATTTTCTTGGTAAACGTATGCAAGATTATGAAGAACTACCAGATTATCCTATTAATGCACCGGATTCAAGTGTTCGAAAACAACAACCAGAATCTATTTCGACACATGCTGTCACATCATCATTGGATAATAATTCGATAAATATGGATGATAAATATAGACTTCGACAACGAAATGGATTTTTAGATGATGTTGATGTTGATGTTGATGAAGAAGATGAAGAAGAAGATTCAGATGATTATGATGAAGACGATGATGATGAAGAATTTGAAGAAGAAGAGGAAGTTGATGATGAAGATTATGAAGAAGTTGATGATGATGATGGTGATGATGAAGAAGTATCTGAAGATGAAGAAGACGACGATGATGATAATGAGTTGGAAGAAGAAGAAGAAGAAAAAGTGGTCAAACCGATTCCAAAATCCAAACAACAAAAATTATCAAAATCTAAATCGCAACAACAACAATCTGATGTTGATCTATTACTTGATTTAAGTGATTTAAATATGAATGATTCAAATAATGGACAATCATCTATATCACCATTTCATCAACCATTATTACCAACAATGATGATGAGTGGAAATTCGATTCCAGTACAGTATGAATCACAAGATCCATATCGAATACTAGAATCACCAGAATCGGTTACATATAAAGAATTTGAATTACTTGATGCAACTGCTACAGATGGTTTTAAAATATCATATCGTTTTCCACGTATTAATGAATCAACAAAAACTTTGGTCGAATTAATTGTAAAATGTACATTGAAATTTGATGATAATCGTAATCAAAGTAGAATTATTGTACAACCACCTTCAAATGGATCGATTCAATTTAAAAATATTGAGGTAAGTTGTTTTGTTTTTGAAAAAATGCCTTATTTTTCTTTCTTTTTTTTTGTTTTTGAAACAGTATAATGCTGATGATAATCAAGCTATGATACCATTATTGGCACCAGATGAAAAACGTTTAATTACATTGGCTGTTGATTTTAATGAATCACCATCATTGGGTATTGAATTGAAATTTAATCGAAAACATTCAGTAAAATTGATTGCACCATTAGGCGATATATTGTATCCGGTACGTTTTCGTAATGTTAATGATTTTCAACAGGAACGTTCTAAATTAACCGGAATGAATGAAGTAACCAATACGATCAGAATAGAATCAAGCCAAAAATCATATAAATCATTGAAACAATTATGTTTGACAATCAATCAGATAATATTGAATTTGGCAAATGTTTGTACGAATCAACATTTCAACAATAATAGTGATGAAACAACCAAATCGAATGATAATCAAACATTATATCATTCTGCATGTACGGTTAAATTTCGTTCATTAATTTTGATTACAATTCAAATTGAAAACAACAACAGTGATGATGATAATGGTGATGGTGATCAATGGACATCATTTACATTGAAAACAATGGTTAATTGTGAAAAAATGGTACTCGGGTCAATGATGAGTAAATTGATTAAAGATGAATGCCAAAAACAGCTATAGAACCATTTTTATTTAACCAAAAAACAAAGAGAATTTTTTTTAAAAAAAATTTTATTTTTATTTTAAAAATATACAAAAAAAAATGAGGATAATATGGATGATGCAAATAAAATTTTTTTTGTTTTGTCTATTTCAATTGAATAAATCTATTGATCACAATTAATTATTGTTGTTATGGTGGTTGTTGTTGTTGTTTCGATTTGAATCGGATATAGAACGATTCGAATGATTTGATTTTCGATCCACTTCCAAAAGACATTCACGAACTAAATGTCTAGCCTGATTGATTTGTCGTCGTAAACGATCGGATGCTGGTTTCGATCCAGTATATAATGGCCGTACATCACGTCCAATTTCAGCAATAACATCCATTAATTTTCCATATTTTGATTCTAATTGATTTTTTGATGATTTCGATGATGATGTGGATGTTGATGTTGATTGACCATTCTGTCCATTTTGAAATGTATTTGTATAGCCTAAATAAGAGAATATGGTTGGCAAATGTAATGTTGGTACACCTGATGCCATTCCATTTTGTATCACATTATATGTATCATTTTGCTGTAACATTGAAGCCATATATTGCATCGATAATTGTTGTTGCTGTTGATGTTGGATCGATGATATTGGCTGTTGCGGCTGCTGCTGTTGTTGTTGATGATGGTGATGGTGATGATGATGTTGTTGTTGTTGATGATGATGATGATTCGAATTGGTCGATTGTATTGGATTAATACCGGCAGTTGTTGTTGATGATGATAATGATGATGTTGAAGATGAAGAAGCTGATGCAGCTGCAGCAGCAGCCGCTGCAGCCATCATTGCCGCTAAATTAGCCGTTTGTTGTCCATTATTTGATGAATGATGTGCAGCTAATAATGCCTGATAATTAGCTAATAAATTCTTTTCATCCAACGTTGGTATGCTACGAGAATCCATTATTATCGAATGAAAATTGAAGGCAATAAAATCTGTAGTATCTTGATTTCGATGAATTTGAAAATGATCAAAATAAAGTGAAGAAAAAAAAAATATTCATTCGAATAATCACTCAACAAAAAAAAAATCAGTGTCATTAATTTTCATACTGCTACCTTCAATGTGGTAGAAGCATTGTTCACCAAAAAAAAATTGTTCCTGTTCATATACAATGTTCATGTTTGAAAATTCTTCGAAAAGTTTCATCGTTCATCAATTTTTTGACCATTATGAATTGTTGAACATCAATCATGATGACCGATGAATTATTTGGTTAAAATTTTTCCAATTTTTTTTCGGGCTATAAATACTCGAAACAATTTGCATTAAAAAAATCATCATCAAACAATCATTTCATTTTAGCAGCTTTTACCCAAAATCATCATCTGCCAAATAATTATTTGACTTTGTCAAAAAACAATCATCAACCATCAATCATGCAATTCTCAGCTTTTATCATCATTGTTTTAGCCATTATTGGTAACGTTTTGGGTCAATCAAGCTCATTGTTTAATCTACCGAAACTATCTGAAATACCATCATTTAAAAATCATTTTAATCCATCCATTCAATCAAGTTTGGCTAATATTGATGGTTGTATGCCTGTTCCATTACCAAATCCATTAAATTTGGATATAAGTGTTTGTGGAAATGCTGCTACATTCTTATCCAATGGTTGTATACGTATTAATCGATTACCATATGGTTATTCATTATCAATTTGTGCTGCCAATACAAATGGACGACCACAATCACAACAACAAAAACCATTACCATCCAATTGTATTCCATTCACTATTCCAATGGGTTATAAAGCAATTCTTTGTTCACCATGATTCATTATTAACCCCACAGGAAAAAAAATGGTTTATTTTTCATTATTTTGCAGCCAAAACCAAAAAAAAAACTTTTGTAATCATCATTTGACTTTTTATGTAATCCACAAAAATATCAATTTTCTAATGTAAAATTTTTGATCAAAAAATACAATTTTTTTTAGCATTTTTCAATAATAAAGATTTTTTAAAACAAAAGAACTTCTTTTTGGCTTTGTTTTCTTTCAAATCCAAATATCCGATGTACAATCACCATGTGGATAACGCATTTCATGTGCTAATGCTGGACCATTTGGTTCGTCACCAAAATCAACAATAAATTTGTCGTCTAATTCCAGTGTATTTCCATTGGCCAACTTTTCATCATTAACATTGATTTTAATCAATTGTGATCCATTATGAAACATATCAGGGTAAAATTCCAAATCCCATGATGAGAAAAGTGAATTTGTACAATATAAACGACGGCCATCCAAACTAAGCTGTAGCATTTGTGCACCGCCACGAATTTTTCGACCACAAACTTCCGAATGAATATTTTTCGAAGATTGTTCATCATCAAATGGTTCATCATCATTGATTATTTTGATTTTCGGTGATGAGATAAGCATACCACCCAAACGAATTCGATTAACCATTCGTAAATGATCATCTTGTAAACCGGTATATTGACGTATTTCACCAAATGCCCATGCTGATATGAAAAGAAATTGATCATCCATCGATATAATTATATCGGTTATTAATGCGGGTAAATAATCACCACCGGAAAATCCTGAAACTTTTTTCGGTTTCAAACAAATTACTTCATCAATTTTTAATGGATTTTCTTCATTTGATTCATCGTAACGAAAACGAAATACATTCGAACTATATGCACAGCCAACAAATCCGATCGGTGATTCGGGTGAATGTAGAAAACGAATTTCAAGTGGCATACAAGCATCACGACCATTTGATCGCAGATCAATACTTTTCAATAATTTTCCCGAATTAAATTCCCAAAGATGTATTGAATGACCATAATGATTATCAATCCAATTTGGTTCGGAAAGATTTCCGGCAAAAAATCCAGGTCGAAAAATATTCGGTGCTGTCCATTCAGTACTGATTAAAATATTCAATCTTGGTTGATACCAAAAATCATAACCATATTGAACGGTTGTTTGTTGATTCCAACATGCATATGGTTCGAAATTTGAATTCAACAAAAGAAATGAACCTTGATTTTGACCATTTCGATCACCCATACAACTGATCATAACATCACCACTTGGTAGACAATGTGATGTATGTGGACCACTTAAATTCAAACGAAATAGTTCTTCTGGTTCAATTGTTTTGTATAACTCGGTACGTGGACCATCAACATTTAAAACATAGATTCGATTCGAACGTAAACATGGTAATATTAATTTATTACGATTTTTACTATGATCATTATAACAACTGCTACAAGCATTCCATCCCTATAATTAACAAACAAAGAAATTAATCAATGAATGAAAGAAAAAAAAAGAAAGAAAATACCGAATGATGTAATTCATCACCAATATTCGACATAAATGTACGATCAATAATTTGGCTATATGTTTTGGATTGTGGATCAACATCAACCGTTGCTAAATAATCTGGACATGATTTATTCGATTTTACACATGTTACATAAAGCCATTGTTCATTGGGTCCATTTTTGAATGCATCCAATGGACTAGAATAACCGGGTCCATGATTCTGTTTACTACAACAAGACATTTAACCGAACAACAACAAAAAAAAATTCCCAGGCAAAATTCAACGATGAATCCTGAATGAATGAATGAATGAATGGCCATAATTCGTGTATACCCTCATTGAGTTTCCTTTTAATCAATAAAAAAGGCCATTTTTAACATTGATAATGCGGCTACCACCACCAGCATTGGTTAATCAATCAATAAAAAACATATTCAATCAGCAAAATTGATTTTTGTTGATAAGTTGGATGGTTGGTTTCATTCTGATTACAACAGAAAATCTAATTTGTCCATGACTAATAAATAAGGATGTGAATATAGTCATTTGCTTACATGATGCAATCACACAGAAAAATGGCAGTAGTGCTTTTTTCATTTGGTAGTGCACACTAATGAAAAAAACACTGCCAGCTGGTAGTTTACACTGCTTGTTCGTAGCTTTTTTTTAACTGGTAGCACACTACTATCAAAAAATCATAGCAATTGGTAGTAAACTATACGAATTGGTAGTGTCGTACCATTTGAATATATTGAAATACCATGTCATTTGNGATTGATAGTGCACTACTTTTCAAATGCTATACTGATTGATAGTGTAACATACCAGCTAGTAGTGGACTACCATTCAAATGCTACACTGATTGGTAGTGTGTATACCAAATAGTAGTGCACTACCAAAGCTCAGTTTCGGGCACCCAATCAAATGATAGTTTACACTACTAAATTTTTTTTCTGTGTGATGGTCATGATCAACAGATTGAGCGAGGAAAAGAAATCAATTTTTTCTTTTAACATTTACAATGAAAAGAAGATGATTAACAATGTGCGTGTGTGGTATGTGTGATGATGGTATTTCGAGAATAGTCTCGAACAATCATCATAAAACTATAGTCAATCATCGGTTTATCCTAATTTTAATTGAAATAAATTGAATTTTTTTCAAAATTTTAGATTTTTTTTAAATAATTTGATAATTCAAATGGAATTTGTTGAATAATTTTATGAAAAAATTTTGGAAAAAATTATCCAAGAAAATGGTTGAAATGATGTTCAATGAAGAGAAAGCGAACATTGACTGTAGCCATTGATTTTCCGCCCATTTTCCAGAATGTTCCATTCGAAATGCAATGCCGCATGCTTGTTTTTTTTTGTGCAAAAAAGCTAACGAACATAAAAAGATTTTGTTTCATTTAACATTTTAGCTTTCAATTGAACGCGTGTTTTTTTTCAACTTAATTTTCTTTTCTTCAAATTTTACAAATTTAAAATTTGTATTAAAATTTAGGCAAATTATATATTTTTTTACAATTGTTTTGTTCAATTTCTTCCTTAATTATCATTAAACGATTATATTAAAAACAATGGCAAAAACACCAGCAATCGGTATTGATCTTGGTACAACATATTCATGTGTTGGCGTATTCCAGCATGGTAAAGTTGAAATTATCGCTAATGAACAAGGTAATCGAACAACACCATCATATGTTGGTTTTACTGATACTGAACGTTTGATTGGTGATGCGGCTAAAAGTCAAGTGGCTATGAATCCAAGTAATACGGTTTTTGATGCTAAACGTTTGATTGGTAGACGATTTGATGATACAACCGTACAAGCTGATATGAAACATTGGCCATTTACTGTTGTTAATGATGGTGGAAAACCTAAAATTCAAGTTGAATATAAAGGTGAAACAAAAAAATTCTTTCCTGAAGAAATTTCATCAATGGTTTTGACTAAAATGAAGGAAATTGCTGAAGCTTATTTGGGCAAAACAATTACCAGTGCTGTAATCACCGTTCCAGCTTATTTCAATGATTCTCAACGACAAGCAACTAAAGATGCTGGTACAATTGCTGGTCTAAATGTATTGCGTATTATCAATGAACCAACTGCTGCTGCTATTGCTTATGGTTTGGACAAGAAAGCCAAAGGTGAACAAAATGTTTTAATTTTCGATCTTGGTGGCGGTACATTCGATGTATCCATATTGACCATTGAAGATGGTATTTTTGAAGTAAAATCAACAGCCGGTGATACTCACTTGGGTGGTGAAGATTTTGATAATCGTATGGTCAATCATTTTGTTCAGGAATTTAAACGAAAACATAAAAAAGATTTAACCAGTAATAAACGTGCACTTCGTCGTCTTCGTACAGCTTGCGAACGAGCTAAACGTACATTATCTTCATCAACACAGGCATCGATCGAAATCGATTCATTGTTTGAAGGTATTGATTTCTATTCAACAATTACTCGTGCTCGTTTTGAAGAATTGTGTGCTGATTTATTCCGTTCAACATTGGATCCAGTTGAAAAATCACTTCGTGATGCTAAATTGGATAAATCACAAATCAATGAAATCGTATTGGTCGGTGGTTCAACTCGTATCCCAAAAATTCAAAAATTATTACAAGATTTTTTCAATGGTAAAGAATTGAATAAATCGATTAATCCGGATGAAGCTGTTGCTTATGGTGCCGCTGTACAGGCAGCTATCCTTAATGGTGATCAATCGGAAAATGTACAAGATCTTTTACTACTTGATGTAGCTCCATTATCATTGGGTATTGAAACTGCTGGTGGTGTAATGACACCATTGATCAAACGTAACACTACCATTCCAACCAAACAAACACAAACATTTTCAACATATTCCGATAATCAACCTGGTGTACTTATACAGGTAAGTTTCAAATATCTTTAGTTTTAATTATTATTTTTCTCTAATTACTGTTTTGTTAAAAACAACAGGTCTATGAAGGTGAACGTGCTATGACCAAAGATAATAATTTATTGGGTAAATTTGAATTGAGTGGTATACCACCAGCACCGAGAGGTGTTCCACAAATCGAAGTTACATTCGATATTGATGCTAATGGTATATTGAATGTATCGGCTGTTGATAAAAGTACTGGCAAACAGAATAAAATTACCATTACAAATGATAAAGGTCGATTATCAAAAGATGATATTGAACGTATGGTTAAAGAAGCTGAATCATATAAAGATGAAGATGATAAACAACGTGAACGTATTTCGGCTAAAAATTCATTAGAAGCATATGCATTCCAGATGCGATCAACGCTCAGTGACGATGCAATCAAATCAAAAATATCGGAAGAAGATCGTAAAAAGATTGATGATAAAGTTGATGAAGTGCTCAAATGGTTAGATGCTAATGCTTTGGCTGAAAAAGATGAATTCGAACATCAACGTAAAGAATTAGAAGGTATTTGTAATCCGATCATTACAAAATTGTATCAACAAGCCGGTGGTGCTGCTGGTGGCATGCCTGGTGGTATGCCTGGCGGTTTTCCTGGTGGTATGCCAGGTGGTTTTGATCCATCTTCGGGTGCAGCAGGTTCAACCGGTAGTGGTGATGGTGGTAAATCTGGTCCTACTATCGAAGAAGTTGATTAAATTCAAAAAATTGTGTCTCATCTTTGTGTTTGTAGTTTTTATTATCATTTAATCACTCTCATGTGGATTTGTGTCCAAAATAATAAACACACACACATCTATTATCCATTTTAGCCATCTTGTTAACATAAAAAAAAAAATAATTACAAAAAAAAATTACAAAAAAATACATTTTTATTTGTTGATGATTTGTATATTTTTTACATTCATCAAATATAAAATAGGTATTATTATTATTAAAATTGAATTAAATTGAATAAAAAAAAAATATTAATTTGAATAATTTTTATTATTTGTAAATTACAAATTCTTCAGATTTACAAAATTTGAATTTCGAGGTTTTTTCGGCCCTGCAGTTTTGGAGTTTACACGCAACTATTTCCGATTTTTTTTTCGTTTTGTACGTGTACATCACACACACATCGTCTATTTTCTATGCTTCTAGATTTTTTTTTTCGCTTTTCCCCTTGGTGATAATAAAAAAAATAATTTCTTTGGAAAGTAAAAAAAAAACCAAGCCTCATTTTTTTTGTTTTTTAGGCGAGCAAATCTGCTCGAATTGCATTATTTATTTGCAATTTTGTTTTTTCTGTCTGTTTCTTTTTTCCCATTAATGGTGTAGCACACATTGTTTAAACGGGTAAAGACAGACCAAGAACATCACACACACACATTCGAATCTTTGTTTTTTTTTTTGTTTCGGGAAAACGGGGCAAAATTGATTTGAATCAAAAATTCGGTTATCATTATCGGTTGTTGTTGTTGTTGTTGTGAAGCCAAAAGAATTTGATTCTTTTGTGTTGTGTGTGTGTGTGTGATTTGGATTCAACGGCGACGGCGACGACAACGTTAATCAATTTGGAATTTATTAAAAAGAGAAAGTACGGGGGTCAAAACAAAATATTTCTGTATTGACTTTGAAAGTTTCTCAATTTTTTTACATCGATATTTCTCTCTTTCTATACTTTTTTCTAAACCATTCTTGTTACGGTTTGTTGTTTTATCGTTTTTGTTTTAACATAAAATCTTTTTTCTTACTAAATTCTATTTCAAAACAGAATGATTCCATTGATTTTTTTCAATGATCAAAATGTTTGCTGATATGGTAATATGGTCGATGGTGATTTGATTGGTGGATTGAAGCAAGCAAAAAAAAAATCGAATAATAAAGCAAAGCAAAATAATCGTTGTCGTTGTTGGTTGATATTTAAAACATCCAAAGCGTTGAAGCGAGGAAAAAAAATCATCGTATGAAAATCCATTGATCCACTGATAAAGATCATTGACCATTTCAAACATCAACAAACGCATACCAATCCAATTTGTTAACAATCATCATCATCAACGACAACGACCTTTTTCGATTTCATCTAAAAAGATTCCATTCGATTTCGAAAATACAAAAATTTTTTCGATTATCACTGCCATCAACGGTAACGGGTGTGTGTGTGTGTGTGTGGTTAAAGTTGCCAAAAAAAAACATTGAAAACAAAATCATCGAAGGTAAGTAATGTAATGAAATGATTGAAAATTGATTGATTGATTTTTGTTTTCTTCTTGTGAAAAAATCAGAAATACTGCGTCCATTTTTTTCATTATCATCACCAACAATATCACCAATATTGGACATAAAAATTGCCGATTTGATTGATTTTGTTTACAATCTAATTCAATTTTTATTGATTATAATAATGATGATGAATTCATTTCCATCAAAAAGACGTTTTAATAATGATAATAATAATAGAAATGATTCGACAAATAATCCATATGAAACGTATCAATTACCACCACCACCACCACCATCAACAACAACATCAAGCAGCAACAAGATTATTAATCGTCTTTTAAATTCATTAAATAATGGTGGTAACGATAATGATAATGATTGTAATGATCAACAATCATCACAAACAATTTGTCGTCAAAGACAATCATCATTTCATAATAATAATAATAATAATAATAATATGAAATCATCATCAAATGAATCTAATAATCAACAACAACAACAACAATCATCATTATTATTGAAAAATGGTTATATTGTAGCATCGAATGAAATGTGTTTTTTTTGTTTTGATGTATTATATGCACATCTTTATCAGAAAACATCACCTGGACGTCCAAATTTTGCAAATAATTCTTATCCATTATTTGTAACATGGAAAATTGGTAATGATCGTCGTTTACGTGGATGTATAGGTACATTTAATTCAATACCATTACATTCTGGTTTACGTGATTATGCCTTAACAAGTGCCCTACGTGATCATCGTTTTGATCCAATTACAAAAGATGAATTAACAAATCTACATGTTAGTGTATCGGTTTTAATAAATTTTGAACAAGCCATTGATTATAAAGATTGGATTATCGGTATACATGGTATACGTATTGAATTTCGTTTGGATAGTGGTTCAAAACGTACGGCAACATTTTTACCTGAAGTTGCATCCGAACAAAATTGGAATCATTCACAAACAATCGATGCATTATTACGTAAAGGTGGTTTTCGTGGTCAGATTTCTGAACAAGTGCGTAAAGATGTACGTTTAACACGTTATCAATCGGAAAAGATTACTATTTCATATCAAGATTATTATAATAATTTTATGGCCAATAATAATAATATAAGCATCAATAATTGATTAAGCCATTCAAAAAAAAACAAATGCAGAACAAAGCAAACAATAACTACCTTATCTTCTTTTTCCCCCCAATCTGGATCATCATCATCATTCATCATCGTTATTAGTTACTTTTTTTTCTAATCAATCATTAACACCAACATTTAACACCACCTGAACTTACTAACCTCCCCTTTTGATTATTGCAAGAAACAAACCCAAATCACACACTGAAACATTTGAAACTTTTTTTTTTTTGTTCAAGAAAAAATATCTTCTATGATAATGAATGATAAATAAATGAATAAAATTTTTATAAAAAAAAGGGTTCTTTTGCAAAAAAAAAATGGTTATTATTATTAATTAATTAATTAATTGGATTTATAATTATAATTATAATAGAATCATAATAAATAATGTTTATAAGTGTGTCTGTGTGTGTTTTATAATCCATAGCATCATTATAAATTTTTTTTTTAAATTTTATTTTTTTAAAATTATGTTTGTTGGATGTATGTAGAGAAAGAAAGAAAAGAAAAGGAGAAATTCATTATTCGTGGACAAAATTGAAAGAAAAGGAAAAAAATATTTATAAATTGTACACACCACCTCTATATATCCACCAATCTCTATATATGTAAACATCATTTACAAAAACACCAAAAAACAATTGAAAAAATCGACCAAAATTTTCATACAAAAAAAAAACATTTCAAACAAAAGAAACTATAGCAAAGATTTCATTGTCGCGATTCTTTTTATTGATAAAGTTGGATTCAGTCATGAATTTTTTTCTGTTTTGTTTTGGAAGTTTTTTTTTTGTTGACGAAACAAAATGAAGACAACAAGTTCATTCATACACAAACACACACACAGAGATTAGAAATCATTGATGTTCGATTTTAAAAATTCAAATCGATCGATGATCAGAGCATTTTGTTGTTTGAAAAGTTGATTCTGTTTTTGTTCACATATATGATTCAAATGATGAGCAGCGAAAAAAAAACATTGTCACATTTTTTTTCAAGTGATAAAAGTTCATTTCAAGAATTTCTATTTTTTTTGGTCGATTCGGTTGTCGTCATGATGGTTTACATTCGGATTCTGGGAAAATAAAGTGTTGTTGTTTTTTTGGTGTATTTAGTTGAAAAGTAGATCGGTAGTAGCCCAAGAGAGAGAGAGAGAGAGAGAGAGAGAGAGAGAGAGAGAGAGAAATGGTGAATAATTGAAATTTGTTTGAATAATAATAATATTTTCTGTGAATAAGTATCGATGATAAAAATATCGATTGTATCGATGATTAATGATTCTTCATCCGTCTTTTTTCTTCTTATTCTTCTTCGAAAAAAAATGATCATTCGAATATTCAAAGATTCGATCTTCTGTGCGCACAATTTTTAATAATTGTTTGAATGGAAAAAAAACGAGCAAAAAAAAATTCATTGATGAAATTGAATTGAACAATCTCCAGAAGGTAAGTGTGTGAATAGATAATAAGATAAAAATATTAATGTTTTTCTTTCAAATTTTCTGTTTTGCAGCCAAAAAAACAAAACAAAAAAAAAATATATAATCAAATACAATTATAATCCAAATTTGAGTGATTGATGTGTGTTTGTAGGTGTGTAGCGAGAAAGAATTGAAAATAATAATCAAAAATAATAAGTGTTGTTTGTTTGTTGTTTGAAGACAAATATTTTAATCGTGTGTTAATCTTTTTTTCTGATTCACTGTGTTCAAAAGTGTTTAAGTGTATTGAAGAAGAATAATAAGAAAATTTGTAGAATCAAATTTCAAATCGAAGATGATTGATTTTTTTAAATAATTAGAAAAAAAAGTGAGAGAAGAAAATATTATTATTAATTTTTGAAGAAAAAAAAAATTAAGCATTCAGAGGTTGTTGTTGTTGATTCAATAATGAATGGTTGATTTGTGAAATCTAAAACAAAACAAAACAAAAACAAACATTGAATTAGTCCGAAAACAATAACCGAAACAAACTTACCGAAAAAAAACGCGACGCATCAAACAACACAGAGATTCTTCTATTGCTGTTGTTGTTGAAAATTGACGACGACGACGATTTGCAGTAGATTTTGTTCAGGTAATTTTGTTTTTGTTGATGTAAATAAAAAATAATTTTCTTTTCTTTTTTTTACTAAATGAGGGGCGACAGCAAACAACAACACAAATCAAAATTTTCTCCAAAAAAAAAACATTCATTCCGATCCATGATCATCGGTTTCACCAAGATGTTCAAATTTGTTCGTTGATGCATAGCTTATCTATTTTTTTGTCATTTTCATAATTCAACAACAAGAAAAAAAAAGAATAAATTTCAATTTGATGCGAATGGAAAAGAAGAAAAAACAAAACAAAAAAAAGAAAAAAAGAAGAAGAAAACATTTATTAATATTTAGACATTATAAATATAAATTAGATGGATATGTCATCATCATCATTATAAATTATTATTATCGTCATCAACATTTCTTGAATACTTGTTTGGCTCTTGTTTAGATCATCATCATACGATTAATAAATAGAAAAATGGTCGATTGATTTGTCATCAATGAATCATCAACATTATCAATATCATCATTATCATTATTATTATTATTATTATCAACATTAAGTTTGGACATTTTATCAACACATACTTGAGTGATTCTGTTTGTTTGCTGAAAGCTCTATGCAAGATTCAAGATGATATTTAAAAAAAAATCCCCATTAACCCCCCGGACAGTAAAAAGCAAAAGACAAGCAAAACAGAAAAAAAAGAAATAGAAGAAAAGAATCAAGTTAGTAGAATTTCAAGGAATCTTATTCAATCTTTCTTTCTGTTGTTATTCATGATTATTATCTTTTTACACACAACAACATGCAACTTTTAAAAAAGTAATTAGTTAATTTTTTTATGGTTTTGGTTTAAAAATATAATCATTTTCTTACCTGTTTGGAATCTGAATCTCTATCATCTTTAGACCATTCAAGATAATCACTACCGCCACTATTATAACGATTACGATTATTATCATAACCACCACCACCACCGCTGCCAATACGTGGTCCACGATCTTGATAGCGTGGTGCAACAACATTATCATCACCATAACCTCGACGTCCACCAATACGATCACGATCACCAAATCTACGACGATCATTATATCCACCACCACCACCACTGCTATTATTTATATAACTATCTCCACGTGGCCCATCTCTTCGCATACGTGGTGCATTATTACCACCACCACCACTGCCCATGCGATCATAATCACCTCTTGGAGCACGCATATTACCACCTCCACCACCACCCATACGTCTATCACTTAAGGCACCATTATTTCGGTCATCATAATCTCTTCGCATTCCACCGCCACCACCACCACCCATTCGATTCGAACCAATGCCACCATTGGCACGACGTCTCGGTGGAATTGAATCTTGATCACTGCTACGATGATCTCGATTTTGATAATCTCGATGCTCAATACGATTAGGTCGATCATTTGTTGTAGCTGATGGAACAGAAACATTACTAGCTGGTGGCACTGATACATCGCCACCATTATCATTTGTCGAGTCTTGTGGTTGTTCAGTGTTTGACTTATTTGATTCTTCATTCGTAGTTGCTGATACTGCAGCGACTGCTTCTTGTTTCGAACTAAGAAGTTTTTTCTCAATTTCCAATTCTTTTTCCGTCGTATCGACCGGTTTTGCTTCACCAAATATTGAACTATAATTTGAAACTTTTGCAGGTTGTGCCGTTTCGGCTGCCTGTTTTTTCAATGCATCCAACACTGATGAATTGATAAATGGACGACGTTCTTTTGGAGCGGCAGTTGTTGCTGGAACATTACCACCACCACCACCACTACTACTATAATCATCAGTCGAATGTTGATCAACATTTGATACATTCGAACGTGTCGATGAAAGACGTTCACGTCCTGGATGATCCATTAATGGTGGATTACGATTACCGGATCGAAATTGATCACTTGATTGATAATATTGTTCATTTATCGGTCGTCGATTTTCATATGTAGTGTTGGTAGTATTTTCATTTCTTAATGGTCTTGATGATGATTGCTGCATATCCGGATCTATTGATTGATTGCTATTACGTACTGATGGTGGTGATGGTTCATATAAATCATCATTATAACCAGATGTTTCATCATTACGATAAGATGATTGTTGTTGTTGTTGTTGATGATGATCAGATGCCATACGTGGCGGTAACATTGCACGAGATGATACATTATTATCATCATAACGTAATGGTCGACCACCACCACGTGGTTGTTCATATGATGAATGATCTTGTTGTTGATGCATCGGTGGTGGAACATCTCTTCGCCAATTACTTGGCTCTTCTGGTTGTTGCGCAACACGATTTTCATTTCTTCTCCAATTTGAACCTCCGCCGCTGCCACCGCCCATATTACCACCAGAATCATTACCACGGCGATGTCCATAATCATTACGACGACCATAACGATCATCATAACCGGAACGATCATCACCTCCTCTATCATCATATCCGCCGCCACCATAATCATTACGATGTGATGATGGTGGTGCATAATCATCATCACCATAACGTCTTGGGCCACGATTACCGCCACCGCCACCACCACTATAACCTCCGGTTCTAGGTGCATGATCATATGAATCAACTGATGGTGGTGGATATACTTGTTTCGGTGGCATTGTATCTCGTGAACGCCAATCACTTGATGTATTATCTCGGCCACCAAATCCACCACGGCCGCGACGATCTATAAAGAATTTACGATAATTATTTGTAAAACAAACAAAAAAACAAAACAAAACAAATTACCGCCATAACGATCACCACTTCCACCACCACCACGATCTAATGACATTGAAATATTACGACCACGAATTGAACGATTATTAAATTCTAATGCTTGAACAAGATCTTGTTTGGTTTCAAATTCAATCCATGCTGTACGTATGGTACGATCTTTGATCATTTGAATATCGATAATCTATAAAAAAAGTTTGAAAAAAAGATTTGAATCCAAAAACAATGAATAAATCCTAATAACACTTACGGTAAGATTACGAAAAAGACCTTCTAAATCTTCTTTTTCCAATTCATAATGTAAATTACGTAAATGTACTTTAAATGGTGGTACTGTTGGTATTTGTGTTGGATCAATTTCATTTACTAATGCTTTTGGTGCTTCAGGAAGATTATATTGACTTGGTACAATAATTTCATTTTCAGAATCATCTTCCATCATTGATGCCCAATTTGGTGTTGTATTTGCAAAAAACAAATCAACATCCAATTTTTCACCTTTTTTCTTTTGTTTTCCTTTAGATTTACCTGATACATTCTGGCTATTATTATTATCGGCATTAATATTTGCCTGTTGTTGATTTGAAGACATATTGTTGATTCGAATATTTCAATTTGTTTTCAAACATTCAATCGAAACGAAACGGGAAAAAAAATCAAAACAAAAAAAAAACCAAACCAAACACACACCCACACACTATTTGAAATAAATTCACAAACAAACAAACAAAAAGAAAAATAAAAAAATTCAATTTCGTTTTCGATCCAAAGAATTCTAAAATTAAATTTGAAAAAAAAAACAAAAACAACAAGATTAGAAAATTGCTTTTGCTGCGGAAAGAAAACTTACCGGTAAATTTTTCTTATTAAAGAATTACGTTTGAAAATAAAAAAGTGTAATTTTGTTGTTTGGAAGCAAAAAATCAATCGATATTAAACCAGATTAACAAGAGAGATAAACGTGTGTGTGTGTGCAAACTCTTGACTCCCAAAAATCACACTCAAAAAGCTTTTTTTTAATTGTTCAGAGATCGATAACGATGATAAAATTTAAAATGAACGAAAGAAAAAAAATCCGGAATCCGGATCAAAAATCAAAACACAGAAAAACAGGGAAAAAAGAACAGTGATGCGGCAGACACACACAGAATTTGGAGAGAAGAAAAAAAAATGTCCAACGTGGATCAATAAACACACACACACACAAACAAGAAAATTTTGTTTTTTTTTCAAAAAAGAAAACCAAAACAAAAACAATGTTTATGTTTTTCGTTTCGTTTCTTGGATGATGTTTTTTTTCACGATCAAGAAAAATGAATTATCCGTATTTCGGACAAACAAAAATTAAGAATTGAAAGAAGAAGAAGAAGAAAAAATGTGCTGTTTGTTTTGGGTGAAAGAGAGAGAGAGAGAGAGAGAAGAATTCTTGAAGAGAGAGAGCGAAAAAAGTCGGCTCAGAAAATTTTTTTTTTTTTTTTTATCAAAATGAGCAAATTGAAATAGGGGGGAATGAATGGGATGTGATGGGATGAAAAGAAGAAGGNCGTATTTCGGACAAACAAAAATTAAGAATTGAAAGAAGAAGAAGAAGAAAAAATGTGCTGTTTGTTTTGGGTGAAAGAGAGAGAGAGAGAGAGAAGAATTCTTGAAGAGAGAGAGGGAAAAAAGTCGGCTCAGAAAATTTTTTTTTTTTTTTTTTATCAAAATGAGCAAATTGAAATAGGGAGGAATGAATGTGTGATGTGATGATGAAAAGAAGAAGTGAAGTGAAAACGTGCTCATCACATAGATGATGGTAGTGGTAGTAGTAGTAGTAGTGGCATATATAAATGACCGGATCGAACTTTTTGTTTGTTTTTTTTTGTTTTCGGAAAACTTTTTTGTTTTGTTTTGCTGGGAAACTTTTTTTTTTCTTCAAAATTTATTTGAATTTGGATTTTTTTGATTGTTTTCGCTGGAAATTTTAAACAAAATCATTTTGAAAAAAGGATTCTTTCCTTTCTTTCTGGATTGGAAAAATATCCAAAATAAACCGAGGAAGAAGAGAAAAAGGTAATTCTATTCAAAAACAATGTTATTGGATTGAAATAGCCGGAAAGAATAAAAAATTTGTTTTGGAACAATTTGGATAGAAATAGAATCGAATCCTTAAAAAAAATACATGCTTGTTTTGTGTGTGTGTGTGTGCGTGGATACACACTTGATTCTATACCACTATGTTTTTTTTTTCGTGCTCCTCCTTTATCTATCTTAAGATTAAATTTAATCGGCGTGCAATAACACACAACAGCAGCAGCAGCAAAAAAAGCACGCCGAACTTTATTCGCAAAAAATCTTTATTTTTTGTTTTAATTGAATTCGATCTTTTTTCCAATTGGAACATTTCATCATCATTTTTTTAATAGTATTCAAAACTTTTAAATCAAATGTTTTAAAAGTTTGTCATTGTTTTCTGTTTTTGATTTGCATATCGTCTGTCATATTGGAAATTTTTTTTTTGTTTTGTTTCGTTTCGAGGTATAATGATTGATTGAATTTTGAATTTTTCACCATTGTTAATCAAATTGCTTTTTTTGAATTATTATGTAGATTATAATTGGAATAAAATAATGAATGTTGAAAAGTTAGCTAAACTTCAATCACAAGTTCGAATTGGTGGCAAGGTATGTTTTCGGTTTTTGTTTCCGGGTATTCCATTTTTTAAATTCATCATTGATTTCAGGGTACAGCACGTAGGAAGAAGAAGGTTGTACATCGTACAGCAACAACTGATGATAAAAAATTACAAAGTTCATTGAAAAAATTGACAGTCAATTCGATTCCTGGTATTGAAGAGGTTTGTTGTTGTTTTTTCCCTCCCAAATCTTGATTCTGATTTGTTTTTAACTTGAAATGTTTTTTTTTCTTTGCATAAACAAACAAACAAAAAAAGGTCAACATGTTTAAAGAAGATGGTACTGTTATACATTTTACCAATCCAAAAGTACAGGCATCATTGGCTGCCAATACATTTGCTATAACTGGCCAATCAGAACAGAAACGTATATCGGATATGATGCCCGGTATATTGAATCAATTACGGCCAGAAAATTTAAGCCGATTGAATAATTTATTCAGTGATTTAGCTGGTGCTGGTGGTGGTGGTGCAGGTGGTCAATCAAATAATGTTGCCGATTTATTGGCTGCTGCTGCTGCAGCACAAAAACAACAAGAACAATCTGATGGTGGTAATTTTGCTTCAGCTGCTGCTGCTGCTGCTGCTGGATCATCAGCAATTATTGAAGAAGAAAATGATGATGATGATGAAGTACCTGAATTGGTACAAAATTTTGATGAAGCTGCCAGAATTAATGAAATCAAAGAATAATGATGATGTGGGGGGAAAGAATTTTTTTTTCGAAAATCGATTGTTGATTGGTTATACACACAAATACCATACACATGATGATAACCAAATAAACAAAACAAACAATATTCTTAATATAAAAATGATAGCTGATGATGAAGATTTTCTTGTGTTAAAAATTTTTCTACCATTATTCATCATCATTGAAAATTTTTTTTAATATTTTTCTTCAACCAATTTTTTTTTTGGTGGATGAGAGAATTTACATTAGATTTGATTTTCAGGAAAGATAATTTTTCTGTTTTGAAATAATAAAAAAAAACTGTGAAAATTCAAATTGAAACAAGGTTTTGACATTTGGGAAAAATTGGTGGTGGTTGCCATTGGTAACCCCAGTCAAAGATTCGAATGTTTTGCTGGATTCGAACGTTTGTTGCTGGATTCGAATGTTTCTGGATTCGAACGTTTTTTTCTGGATTCGAATTCGAATGTCAACATGGCCGATGATGAGGATCCGAATGATGATGATAATGGTCAAAATCCAAATCAACAACAACAACATTCGATTGATATTTGGATTGAATCACAAAATTTATTAAAAAATTCAGAAATTTTACAACATGAACATGTTTATCTGAATGGTTATTCAACATTGGTTTTTGTTGGTTCACAATTTGGGGTGAGTTTTTTGTCTGAGTGTTTTTCGATTCAGAAATTGAGTTAATCATGTTTTTCCCCATGTATTTTCCCAAGGGTAAAAGTTCAATTATAAATCGATTTATTGATCCAACAACAAAATCATTATCATTGGATAAATATGATGAAACTATTGGTCTAGAATATCGTTATCTTTGTCGTCGAATTGATTCATTATTTGATGATCGACAACGATCAAAACAACAACAACAACAACAGATGAATGAAACAATTTCATTGGAAAATAATGAAAAAATCTGTAATATTTGGGAATTAGGTTATGAATTATTGTTTATTGATTTGTTGAAATTTGCAATCAATCTGGAAACAATACAAAATATAACATTGATTATTGTTATCGACCTAACACAACCGAATAAAATGTCCATATTATTGGAACAAATTATCAAATGGATACGGAAATATTTACAATCATTATTGGCAACTAATGATGATCAATTTGAACAACAACTACGACAATTAGCATTGAAACGTTCGATTTATTATCGTAATGATCAAGATCAAGATAATCAGGATGATAGACCAAAAAATCCATTATTAATACCGGTAACAATAATCGGTAGTAAATATGATGAATATCAAAATATGGATCCAGAAATTAAAAAACAAATTACACGTTATTTACGTTTAGTTTCATACGAATTAGGTGGACAATTATTATATCATTCATGTCGTTCAGAAACGTTAACTAAACGTATAAATCAAGCATTTGAATCATTAGCATTTGATCGATTAACCTTTGATTTGAATGAACGTAGTAAACCATCAATATCAACAAATATTGCTAAACCAGTATTACTACCATTTGGTTATGATACATTGGCAAAAATCGGTGTTGAATCCAAATCATCGGAATCAGTAATGGATCAAGCGAAAAAACAATTTGAACAAATATTTCCACAAAAAATTTTAGAACAATCATATCAATCAACAATTGATGATGATATTGATCCACGTTTTGATCCAAATTTTGCTGAACCTGAAATTGATAAAATTTTAGAATATAAATATATGTTATTGGATAAATGATCGATGATGATTTTCAAAAACATGAAATTCAAATCCAAACTGTATTCATCAGCAAACACTAGATGGCATCCTATTTTAACAAAACTTACCTGGACCAGAAAAATTTATTTAATTAAATTTGTTTAATTTGAAACTTTTTTCTGTTTCTGGTTCTGCTTTCACTGGTTAATTAGTCAACGAAAAAAACAAAAAAAAACTTTTTTTTTGAAGAAAAAAAATCCTAAATAATCAATTTCACAACTGAAACCAAAAGTTATTGATGCATAACATTCCCCCCCCCCAAAAAAAGAAAAAAAGAAAAATCCAAATCAAACCAACAGATGTTTAACAGATTGAACAAGCAAAATTCGAATGTTTTTTGAAAACATTCGAATTTTTTGGCTAAGCATCCTGGGGGGAGTGCGTGGAATGGGGGGTGTTGGTCGCCTCGTCGACGAAAAAAAGCCATAAAAGTGTCCAAATCAGGATGATGGTGAATGGATGCAAATGAAAAAAATAATAATAATAATCCTGTCTCAAGGTCAGACATTCATTGACCACCATCGTAAATTTTAATGTTTCTTTCTTCTTTTCTTTGATCTCTTTTTTAACTCTTTTTTTTTTTATTTATAGAAGTTTTACCACTACTACTAGATCAAAAAAAAATTAGTGGTGGTAGCAGTCAATAAAATTGATAGATTTTTTTTTCTTTAAAAAAAACTTTTATCATTAAAACATACTACTACTTCTTCATTTTTTTTTGTTGGAATATTATGAGTAGGGGTTATATTCAATGATGACTGAAAACCAAAAAGGAAATCCTCATCGATATCAACATTTTGGATTATCCTAATAGTAGTGGTAGTAATCAAGGTAGTAGCATATAAAAGAAAAGAGAAAAGAATACATCCTTGAAGAGAAAGGAAAAAAAAAAACATATTGAGGATGATGATGATGAGGAGGAAGGGTTATTTTTGCGAATGAATTATTCGAATCAACCATCAATGATGATGATCATCATGGTCGTCGATTGATCGTTTCGTTTTTTCGTTTTCTTCATTATTTACGACGAGAATAAAAACGTCCTCCAACATATATATCGTTTATTTTGGTCATTGTTTTTGTTGTTTCATTTCAAAGTTTTTTGTTTTTGTTTGTTTTGTTGTTGTTTTTGATTCAATTCACATGCGTATTTCGTGAATTTTATTTCATTTTTTTGGGAAGAAAAAAAAACATTGAAAAAAAAAATCCCAAAAATGAAAGAAATGATGATTTGACATCATCATCATCATTCAGTTGTCGTGTTTGTCATTCAATTTTTTGTGAACAATTTTTTTTCTTCTTCAAATCGATTTGAAATCGATTCGATCAAGTATTAAATCATACGAAATCCAAACAAACCAGGTACGTTTTTTCAAAAAACAAAGATTTTTTTTCCGAACAAACAACAAGGGTTAATCACAATCAGAATAATGTTCGAATGAAAATAAGAATTCGTTCGAAACCAAAAAAAAAAAAATAATAATAATAATTCCTTCGAATCCTATCATCTGTGAACAATCCTTTCATTGGGTTTTTTCTTCATTTTAATCATGTTTTTTTTTTCATTTTGTTTTCATTCATTTATAGAATTTTTTGTTGTCGTTTGTTTGTTTGACGATAGAAAAAGAAACTAACAAAAAAAAAGAACAACAAGAAATAGATATTTTTCGATTGTAATCGATTGAAATGAATTGAAGAGAAAATTTTGCTGTCATTGTTTTTTTTTGTCTTTTGTTTTCCTTCTATTATCAAATTATCACAGCTAAAAATAAGTTGGATAAAAATGTTTGTGTCGAAAAATAGATTCGAATTGATAATCAATCAATATTTGATACAAAAACAAAACCAAAATCAATCAATATTTGATTGTTTCGTTGAAACAAAAAAAAATGTAAATTTGATGTTTGATGTTTTTTATTAATTTATTTCGATTTTATTTTTCCTTCTCTGTAGAATAAATCAATGAAATTGGATCGATCGTAAACGAAAAACAAACAACAACAACAACAGACCAGAATCTGAGAAGAAATCTTTGTTTTTCAAATCAAAAAAGAAAATATTCTCGTAACGCGCATGCGTATTTCGAAAAATCAAAATCGAATGATTCTTTTGCTGGAAATATTTCGCCAAAAAAGTTTTTCCCGAAAAAGTTTTCTTCAATTAGTTAATTTTTGTTTATATAATTATCATTATCAAATCAAAGAAAAAACAACGAAACAACAAGATAACTAAAATAACATTGTTTGTACATGAGCTCATTGTTGCAATCATTTTCATCATCATCATCATCCTCATCATCATCATCATCATCATCACCGATTGTAAAAAGATTACTTGGTTGGAAAAAATGTGATCCACCAACAACAACAACAACATCATCATCAAATACGATAAAATCATTACCAACTTTTTTATCACCATTATCACCATCATCTTCATCATCATCATCATCATCTTCACCTCCATTACCTTCATTATCAACAGCAGCAACAACAAACAATAATAATAATGATAAATGGTCGGAAAAAGCTGTAAAATCATTGGTAAAAAAATTAAAAAAAACCGGTACATTAGATGAATTGGAACGTGCTATTTCTGAACAAAATGTTAATACAAAATGTATTACAATACCAAGGTAGGATTGTTTTTTTTTTGTAAAAAATCAATTATTTTTCACTTTCCGTTCGGCAATCCTTTTTTTTATAAATTGAATAATTTTCAGACTTTTTTCCAAAGAATTCCTCATATGAATATTCCAGTTCTTTTTGTATTTTCATCCATGAAATAATGAAGAATAGGCGGAAAAAAGGGTTAATTTTTCTTTTTGATTTAATCAGTTGAAAATCACATGATTTTTTCTCCGAAAAAATTTAAAAAACAAATGAAAATTTCTTTGGAATTCAAAATAATTATGAGATGATGATTGTCAAATTTTATGATCTTTATTTAAGAATTTGAATGCATAATTGATTTATGATTCATATTGCGCAACAAAGATTTGTTTTGTGCTTTTTGTTTTGTTTCGTTGAAATGTTTTAATTTCAACTTGATCCCGATGACAAATGATGATGATGACGACAAGTGATGATAGCCATATGTTTGGATTTTATAGCAGAGAATATAATATTAAAAAAGGTCGAAACTGTACTTAACCCTTTTTTTCTTTTTGTTGTTGTTTGTTGTTGTTGTTGTTATAGAATAATAATAATAATTTCCTGTATAAACAAAACAAAAATTTTGTTTATAAATATGATTTGTTTGTGTGTGTGTGTGTTTATAATTGGCAAAAATCTCTATAATAATAATAATAATAATAATAATGATTTGTTGTTGTTGTTGTCGTTGATTATGATCCATAACAAATTGAAAATTTATATATTTAGTTGTTGTTTGTTATCGAGCATATACAATGTTTGTTTAGCTTTTTCAACATTTTTTTTGATGATTGGACTGATGTTTGCTGGTTGTTATAGCAAGCCATAAATCTATTTTAAATCTGATTCTATCTATGTATATTTACAAAAGTTTGATAGAATTGATGATGTTAATAATAATAATAATGATGATGATGACCTAGATTTTTTTTCCAATAGTTTTTGTTGTTGTTGTTGTTGATAAATTGATGTCATTTCAAATGAATTTTGTTTTTTGTTTCTCTTCTATTTAAACACTAATAACCAATATTCACTATAGGAATGTTCATGTGTAAATAGACGACGATTGATATATCAAGAATCGATTGAACACCAAGGGGATATTCTTCTTTTATCCATTGTCGAATGTCGATAAATGAATGAAAAAAAAAGTTTTTTGCCTTGGATATAGATGAAACTAAACGAAGGTTATAGACAAATTTCTTTGGAATCTATTTTTTTTTTTTTTTTTTTTTGAACATTTTTGCATGTTTTTTTTTTTTTTTTGAAAAAGGAAAATTTGTAGATTAAGCTCAAAAANAAATGAATGAAAAAAAAAGTTTTTTGCCTTGGATATAGATGAAACTAAACGAAGGTTATAGACAAATTTTTTTGGAATCTTTTTTTTTTTTTTTTTTGTTTTGAACATTTTTGCATGTTTTTTTCTTCTTTGTGAAAAAGGAAAATTTGTAGATTAAGCTCAAGATAATTCACATTACATTACATCATATATTTTTCTTTAGCTGTTTGTCAGTTTTGTGTATTATTATTTCTGATGAAAGAAAAACATTTATTGCGAATCGATATTTATTCGATAATTCTTTTTGACCTGGATTTCTTCTACACCTACACTTATAATAGTAATCATCATTCAATAGGAATCGATATCGATAGAAAACATTTTCTTCTTCCATCCATAATAATGCGGAATTTATTTTCCCATTTGGTTTTTTTTTTGGTTTTTGTTTTTTATTTGGAGAAATTTTACAAAATTTTTGCTGTTGTAAATGACCATATGTGTGTGTGACTAAATCGACTATTCTAACCCTATCATCATCATCATCATCTTTTTGGTAGGGTCAAAAGAACTATCCAATAAAAGTGATGACCTCGATATTTTTTTTTTGTGGTTGGTTTCAAAACACATTATTTACAGTAGTTTTTCTTGAGAAAAAAAACCACTCAATCCATATGGGAAGAAAGAAAAGGAGAAAAAATAAAGGTCAAAGTTCTCATCAAATCCCCCTTCCCACCTTACCCTGTGTATATCCAGAAAACAGAAACAAAAAATTTTTGAAAATAAAAATTTTCTTTCTTGACTTTTTTTAAGGTCTTAATTTCATTTCTTATCACACAAAAACTGTAGTCAAAAATAGTCTTTCTGTCTGTGTGTGTGAAAGTAGTAATGAAGAAAAACCCATTAGAATCCATCACATAAAGATTATCTTTATATTTCCGTTTTTTTTAAGTTTCGGTTTCTATGATGATGATAATTATCAAAATTTTTTCAAGAAAAGTTGACCACCACCATCGCATACACACACCTGGTTGAACCGTTTTTTTTTGTTTTGTTTTTTGATTTCTATCTTTGAAGGTGGTAACCACTGTACAATGACCTCTTTTTTTTGGTATCTTCTAAAATAAAATCTGGCCTTCACCTTCAACATTAAACCAAACCGACCATATACAGTTACCCTCCTTTCTTCCTTTTGATGACCTTTGACCTAGTATTCAGTCGCTTTTTGATTCTATTTGCACATGTGCGCCATACGGTTTTTTTTTTCTTCTTCAAATTGATTTGATTTTTGCTGGTTGTTTTGGTTGGTTGTTTCGAAACGTTCCAACAACAACAACAACAAAATTGATTTTTTTTTGATGTTTTTTTGTTTTAAAATGTACGATCCACCCATCAAAAACAATACCTGTGTAGCGATAGTGTGTTAATTTTGTGAAAAGAAACATTCTTCTATTTGTTCCCCCCTTTTCATTTATTTTCTGTAAGTTTTAAAATTTTAAAAATTTCATTACGATTTTGTCTGGAAAATAGAATTTTAATTGGAATTATGCAACAATTTTCTCATTGAAAACCCAGACAAAAAAAATTTAATTTTAATTTTGAGCTTTAGAAAATCCTAAAATAACAATGTGTTTTTGAAATTGAAATTGAAAATGAAAATCCTTAAATCTTCAATCTTAGATGATAATTCAAATTTAGATGAAAATCAATTGTATCCGAATTTGAACTTATTGAACATTTGATAGAATTTTGAACGATTCTAAATATATTCTTATGTAGTTTTTATGAATAATTCTACATAGACTTTTGCTTTAATTTCTGATGACATAGCAGACATTTTTTATTTTTATTTCAATGAAAATTAGTCTCTCTCTCTGCGTGTGTGTGTGTCTGTGTCTATGATTCTTGCAGAATTGAATTTTTGTTTTTCTGATTTTGGTTTCCCCTTCATATTTACCAATATGGTTTTTTTATTCAATGAAAAAAATATACATCCATTTCATACATAATGTATGTTCGAATTGATGTGTATGATGATGAAGATGAAAAATCAACACACAATATTGGTTCATTGAACTTACTTGATATAGCTGTTTATAATGCGCAACAATTCTGTCGTTTTTTTCGTCTTCATCATATATGTTTCCATAAATGTGAATTAAATTAATGAATTTTACAATGATGATGATGATGATAAACATTTTTTAAAATTTTGATTTAGATTAGGATTGAGACAGAAGAAGAAGGAGATTAACAGCAAACTAAAAAAAAAAGGTTCATTGTCATTGTTCAAATGTTTGAAAATCTATTTTTTTTTTCATTGAAATTCTTCTTTTTTTAAACGAATATTTCATCATTCATTCAGGGTTATTGGTCTTTTGTTGGCATTTATCAATAATATTCATTCATTCTTGTGGGTGTGTGTATGTGTCTGTGTGTTATGATCATATTACTTTACATAACATAACTTTATCATCATCATCATAATCATCTCATTTATCTGTCTGGGATGTTTTTGTTTTTGTTGTTTTTTAATTTTTTTTTTCATATTTTTATGTTTTACGCATGCTTATTGTTTTTTTAGCTTAAAAAACGAAAATTCTTTATTCGTATCTCTATGTATTTCTACATTGATTTCGACATTGAAAATGAAATGATGATTTGTATCCAGTGTTTTTTTTTGCTTCTTGTTCAAAGTTTTTTTTCTTCATAATTATATATACGACATATGTCGATGATGATGATGATGATGATGATGTAAATTAAATATCAAGAGAGAGAGATAAAAGAAAATGTATCCATTTTGTTGTTGTTTTTGTTTTTGTTGCTTTTTTTGAAGAAGAAGAAAAAGAAGAATCACAGCAACAATCCTATCCCAAATGGGGTATCATAATACGATCATCATCATCATCATCATCATCATCATTATGATGGTGATGATGATGATGATTGCATTTTTGGTAATAAAAATGGATACAAAAATTTATAGATTTAATGTGTCTGGCTCTCGGATGGATGATATAAAAGTAGCAAATTATCATTCATTTCTTTTAACAAATATGATTTTTTTCGTTTTTTGTTTTATATTCTGTAAATGTTTGATGATTTTGAAAAGGGGGTATTCATTTGGTGAGTGGTCAATAGGGGTTAAACAATTTGTTTGTGGTAGTGGCAATAAGATAAGTAATGTTTTTTTTTTGTTTTGGGCGCCATATGAATAAAGTGTATGAAAGGGGGAGGGAAAATAATTCAGCTAACCAATCAGAATTTGATGGAGGGAAAAAAATTGACGCCCCTTTTTCTATTCTGTTCTATTCTGTTTAACACTACCCTCTCTTTTGATTCACTTTTTTTTTGGACGATTTTTTGTATTGCTGCTTCTGCTGTTTTAGATGAATTCTTTTGAATAATAGTGGTAATTCTATTCTAGTGATGGTAGCAGCAGCAGCACAGACGCCATTCCATCAACAAAAAAAAACAAAAATTCGGGCGTCATATCATTGTCATCATCGTAGAGAATCGCTACATTCGACATTCGAATGAATCAACACCATCATTATTTATTATTTTATTATCCCAGAAGAAAATGTTTTTGTATAAAGTTTCTTTTGAAACAACAAAAATTCCTAGTCGTTTGAAATTTTAAAAAATGTGATTTTTTTTCTAAAGTGCATAACGTCATCATCATGATGATGAAAAGAAAAAATAGTGAAGAATCTTGCCAAAAACAACAACAACAATTTCATAATGTCAATATGATGTGTTTTTTTTTTGTTCGCTCGCATCATCCTCATCTAATAATATGGTAGACTTTCTTTTTTTCTATCCATTTTTTTTTCTTCTTCGCTACCATTGATATCAATTTTGCCTTGATTTTTTTCATTCATTCATTCATTCTTTATGTTTTCTTCAGTTGTTGATGATGATGATGGTGTGATGATAAACCATGATCATGATTTGTTAGTATTCATCGCCGTCGTCGTCTTTGTCGTCAGTTAATCATTCAGTTTGCTTTGTTGATTGATATTTTCTATTCTTGGCAATCTTCTCCATTGATGATTTGTAATATTATTTTTTTTGAAAAATAATTTTTTCTGATAAATTTTTTGTTTGGTCTTTACATTTGTGTTGTGTTGGCATTTTTTTCTGTTTGTTTTTCCTTTCTTTATATTGGAAAATGTCGTGATGATAGTTGTTTTTTTTTTCATTTGAATTCAAAAGAATTTTTACTTTCTTAAATTGAATTGATTGATTGATTGATTTTGTTTTTCTTCTTATTTTTTTTCGTTATAGATCATTAGATGGACGTTTACAAGTATCACATCGAAAAGGTTTACCACATGTAATTTATTGTCGTTTATGGCGTTGGCCTGATTTAAAATCATCACAAGAATTACGATCAATTGAACAATGTCAATATGCATTTGCATTAAAACGTGATGAAGTTTGTATTAATCCATATCATTATCAACGAATAAAAGCACCTGAATTACAGCCAATATTTGTACCACGTTTATATCCATTACCACCACCAACACCATTACCACCACTATTATCATCAAATAATCAAGATAATAATGTTGTTGTTGATTCAAATCAAATGTCAATGATACAGACAATTGTACCGAATAATATAACAACATTTGGATCATCATCATCATCATTACAAAATAATTTTTTAAATAATAATCAATTTTCTACAACATTTTTTAATCAACAACAATCATCATTATTATTAAATTCACCACAATCAAGTATATCAAGTGATGGTATTGGTTCACCTGGTTCATCATCATCATCATCAAATCAATCATTAGCGACAACAACAACAACAACAACATCGACAGCTATTTCGACAAATATTACTTCTATTACACCTGCTTTAAAGGATAGTGTTGGAATGGTTGTTACTGAAATTGCTTATCATCATCATTTAGCTTCCGCTAATCATCATCCACATCCACATCCACATAATCATCCTCCACCTCCATCGTCTCATAATCATCATTCTCATCATTCAAATCAACAAATATTAACACCACATTCACAACAACAACAATCGGCAACAACATTTTTTCATCAAACCGGACAACAACAGCAACAACAACAACAACATTCATTAATCAATAATCAATTAATTCCAGCAACACCTGTTGGTGGTACGATCAATATTATTGGTCATTGCGGTGGTGTTGGTGGTGATAATAATAGTGTTAATGATGGTGGTGGTGGTGGTGGTGATTTAATTGGTGATGAAAGAATGACTGGAGGAAATATTTGTTTAGAAGAAATTGGTAGAACGATAGCAACAAATATTAGAATTGATGGTGATAGTATGACACCTACAAAACAACAACAACAACAACAACATATTGGAACATCATCGACAACAACAATAACAACAAGTGGCCCAACTAAAACAACAAATAATAACTTACAACAACAACAACAACAACAACAATCAGTGTCTTCAATGATAACAGATGATCCAACATCACCACTATCATTATCATCATCATCATCATCATCACCATACCAACATCAACATCAACATCAACATCATCATCATAATAATCATTCATCACCATCACCATCAACAACAGCAACAACAACAACAAATACCGGTCAATCAACACAAACTGATCAATTACAACAGCAACAACAACAAAATCCACAACGTTCACCATCAGAATATCCTGCCGGTCAGCAACATTTACAATCAACAACAACAACAACAAATAATAATAATATTCATGATACATTTACATTCACTTTTTCTTCTAATACTTTTCCAGGTTTCTTTACTTTCTTTCTAATTTTTTCAATTTCTTGTCTTGTCTTTTTATTTCCAAAAAATTTTTAAAACAAACACAAAACATTACACGATTATCTGATTTTTTTTTGTTTCAAATGAAACTAATTGAATTTTTTGTTACATTTTTTTCTAATTTTGATTTATAGAAACACCACCACCCGGTTATATGAGTGAAGATGGTGATGGACAAAATGATGAACGGATGGGTATGTTTTTTGTTGAAAAAAAACTGATTTTTTTTTACTAATGATTTTTTCTATTCAAAAAATTAGAAACATCATTAATGTCAGCAACACCAAGTCCTGGTTGTTTAGATGTACAACCAGTTACATATACTGAACCAGCATATTGGTGTTCAATTTCATATTATGAGCTCAATACACGTGTTGGTGAAACATTTCATGCATCACAACCATCATTAACAGTTGATGGTTTTACTGATCCATCATCATCTGAACGTTTTTGTTTAGGTCTTTTATCAAATATTAATCGTATAGCAACTGTTGAACAAACTAGACGTCATATTGGTAAATTTTCATGATCATTATTTTTGTTTTTTGAATTTAAAATTTTCATTATCATTTTTTTGTTGTTTTGAAAATCTATAGGACGTGGTGTACGTTTATATTATATTGGTGGTGAAGTATTTGCCGAATGTCTTAGTGAAAGTGCTATATTTGTTCAAAGTCCTAATTGTAACCAAAGATATGGCTGGCATCCAGCTACAGTCTGTAAAATTCCTCCCGGTAATTTTTTCCATTCAATATATGATAATCAAATCAATTAATCAATTCTTTGTCTTTTCTAAATTAGGTTGTAATCTGAAAATATTTAATAATCAAGAATTTGCACAGCTTTTAGCACAATCAGTATCACAAGGTTTTGAAGCTGTTTATCAATTAACAAGAATGTGTACAATACGTATGAGTTTTGTAAAAGGATGGGGTGCTGAATATCGCCGTCAAACGGTAACAAGTACACCATGTTGGATTGAATTACATTTAAATGGACCATTACAATGGTTAGATCGTGTTTTAACACAAATGGGTTCACCACGTGTACCATGTAGTTCAATGTCATAAAAAAAAGATAAAAACATCGTCAAAAACATTGATTTCCATTTGATTTATAAATAACGAATTGTGACCAATTGTCATTCACCACCACTCATTTTTTTCATTTTTCTTCTTCTTCTTCTTTTTGCAATGAGAAACAAAACAAAAAAAAATCTAATATAAATAATGAAGAATATTTTACTTGAAAACAAACAGAAAAACAAACACCCAACTCACACACACATTGTAATTGTCCTCCAAGTTTGAATTTTCATTTCATTTCATTCGTTTATGATAATGTTGCTGCTGCTGATGAATAATAATCATCATTTTTTTTTCTTGAATTAAATAATTATAAATATGGTAAGAGAGAACAACATTCATTGGTTTTGTTTTGATTCATTCATTCATTTTTTTGACTTTTGACTTTTGACTTTTTCAAATTTTAATTATATAATTTCTTAATTTCTTAATTAATAAAATTGATTTTTTAAAAATAAATGTCATTTGGATATGTCATTTGTGAATATGAGAATTGGAATTGTTACTTGAGCCAGCCAAAAACACGGAAATCTAAACAATAAAAAACTTAAATTTTATTTTATTCAATATTAAACAATAATAAAAATGATTAATTAACTTTGTAACTTTCTTTTTGGCTGTTGTTGTTGTTTTCAAATGGATCGATCAAAAATCGACCCGAAAGTGAATAAAATAAAACACTTTTGGCCAAAATGCAAAAGTCATTGAAGAAAATATTTTCATTGTTCCAAAACAAAACAAAAAACCAATTATAACGGAATCTATTTTTATTATTTGCAGAATAAAATGTCTACCACCAAGAATTACAAAAGATAATAATTATTATTATCAGTTTTTGATTGATTTTTTCATTTTCTTTTTTTGCATTTCCTTATTCTGTTTTGTTTAGTTTTCTTTGTTGTTGTGAAAAATTTTTTTTCCGAATTTTTCGAATCTTTTTTTTTCGTTTTTGTTTGCCAAAAAAAGAATCACGTGAATCTTGTGCACATGCGCGATTCGAAGAATATTCGAACACTTTTAGGATTCTTTTTTTGCTGCTGTTGCTGCTGGCATGCATTTGTTGTTGTTGTTGCTATACTGAGTGTGTTTGTTCTATCCAGAAAAAATCAGATTCTGGTTGTAGAATTTTCTGGTTTTTTATTTTTGCTGTTTATTTTGTTTGTTTGATTGTTACTTGGCACTATCATCAAAGAATCAAATTTAAAACCAAAAAAAATCCTCTCTTCGTTTTCATCATCATCATCGTTTTTTTTCTATTTGAACAAGAAGAAGAAAATCGTTGTCGTCATCCATCATCATTTGTAAAAATTCAATGTCAAATAAATGATGGTGGTGGTTGTTTGCTTGTGGATATATCATTCATATGATGATTTAAAATTTTTTCAACAATCATTTTGAGTTCAGGATCTTTTTTGTTTTCTCCCATATTTCTCTTGTTTTGTTTGAACATCATCGTCGAAAACAAACAAACAAACAAACGTATGTTATACAAAAAAAAATGTTTATTTAAATTTATTTATTTTTTCAATTGCAATCGTGCTTCTACTACAGGAGACAGCAGAGAGAGAGAGGCGGAGGATCTATTCGCGGTGGTATTTTGGTTGGTAGTTGGATTGGAAAAAAAAACATTTTAATTGATCATCTTGGTTCTCGACAGTGGTGGTGGTTGCATAAAAATTGTTATTTTGTTACACTGTGTGTTTCACCGGCTGTGATTTCAACAAATTTGTTTGTTTGTTTGTCGAATACCGGTTGCATATCGATTGCAAATCATCATCATCATCATCATCATCGCACACATGATTTGAGAAAAAAGAAAATCGAAATAACAACAAATTCAACAATGGAAGATCGATATTTTTGTGGCGGTAATGATTCATCATCAACATCAATATTGGTATGTTTTTTTTTTGTCAACATAACGGTCATTGTCATCATCATTATCAAAACATAGTGATTATATTTGTTTATCTAATCTTATCATTTGATTTTTTTCTTTCTGATTATTTTTCCAAATAGGATTTTAATCAATTATGGAATTCAACGAGACCAGAATTTTCAAAATGTTTTCTAAAAACAATACCATTTTGGTTACCATCATTATTCCTTTGGTTATTTGCACCGATTGAAATTTATTTTATTTTAAAAAAACATTTTACATTCAATAATGATCATTATCATCATCGACAACAGCGACGACAACAATCAATTTCAATACCATATAATCAATATAATATATCAAGATTATTTTTTACAATTTTATTAATCATTACAAATCTAGCACAATTAATTCATGATCTCTGTTATTATCAACCATTTTGGCAATTAATCAACATTAATAACAATAATGTTGATAATATAATATTGGCTTCATCGGCTGATATTTCAGCATCATTATTGAATATAATTACCTTTGTAAGTTTGTTTCTGATTGTGTTTGATTGGTTGTTTGAAAATTTAATTATTTTTCTCTCCCGTTAATCTTTCTATAGAGTTTTTTTGCCTGTTTTATTCAAATTCATCGTCGTCATGGTAAACATACCAGTGGTATTGCATGGTTATTTATGTTCATATCGGTTATATCATTTTTACCAATAATTTATACATTCATTTTGAATGGTTTTAATTTCAATAATGTTTATCTACAAATTGGTCCGATTGAAAAGAATTTTAATTTATCATTATTATCCACTATATTCATATTACATTCAATATTATTGATTATAATATTTTTACAAACATGTTTTGCCGATCAAAAACCAATTCAACATTTACATCGATCATCGAAACAACAACAAACATCAACATTGGATAATTATGATGATAATAATAGCTTGAATGATTCAAAAAGAAAATTATCAATCAATAATGTTGATTCATTTGAAATGAGTTCACCATATGAACCGAATGGTACAATTATTGAAGAAACAATATCATCATCATCACCATTATCATCATCAACAACAAATATTGATCATCATAGTTTAATTGAAACGGGAAAAAAACCAATCGAATGTCCAGAATTACGATCATCATTTTTATCACAAATAACATTCTGGTGGTTCAATACATTGGCCATTCGAGGTTTTCGTCGTTCATTAACAATGGATGATTTATGGGAATTAAAACCTGAAGATCAAACAAATTATGTTGCACCAAAATTTGATCGTCATTGGCGTTCACAATTAAGACGATCACAATTATCAATGAAAAAACGATCTTCATTAAAACAACAACAACAACAATCATCATCAATACCGATCATTATGACAGCTATACCGACGGATACGATTAAACCAAAAACTGCCAATATTGTATGGGCAATGTGTAAAACATTTGGTTGGTTATTCATATCGGGTGCTATATTTAAATTAGGACATGATCTTTTACAATTTGTTGCACCACAATTACTTAAATTGTTTATCGGATTCATTAAGAAACCATCGTCGGAAGAACCAATATGGCATGGTTATTTTATTGCAGCATTATTTTTTCTTACAGCCCTAATACAATCATTTTTTTTGAATTATTATTTTTACATTATGTTTGTAATTGGTATGCGATTACGTACATCATTCATATCGGCTATCTATCGTAAAGCATTAACATTAAGTAATGCATCACGTAAACAAACAACTACCGGTGAAATTGTCAATCTAATGTCGGTTGATGCACAAAGATTTGTTGATGTTTTACCATTCTTAAATCTTATTTGGTCATCACCATTACAAATTGCATTAACAGTTTATTTTCTTTGGATGGAATTAGGACCATCAGTATTGGCCGGTTTAGCTGTTATGGTTTTAATGATACCAATAAATGGATTTATATCCAGTTATCAACGACGTTTACAAATGAAACAAATGAAAAAAAAAGATGAACGTGTTAAAGTTATTAATGAACTATTGAATGGTATACGTGTTATCAAATTATATGCATGGGAAGTGCCTTTCATACAAAAAGTATCCAACATACGTAATAGTGAAATTGATTATTTAAAAAAGAATGGTTATCTACATTCGGTAACATCATTTTTATGGACATGTGCACCATTCATGGTATCATTCGTTACATTTGCTATCTATGTTCTTAGTTCCAAAGATAATGTACTTGATCCACAAAAAGCATTTGTATCATTATCATTATTTAATTTATTAAGATTTCCATTATCAATGTTACCAATGTTAATATCAATGTTAGTATCATGTTCAGTATCGATAACAAGATTGAATCGTTTTTTAAATTCACCACAACTTGAAAATTATGTTGATCGTAATGAAGAATTAATGAATAATTTAGATATACGTATTGAAAATGGTACATTTTGTTGGGAAACTGAAAACACCAATACTGTTGATGACAAGAAAAAGAAATCGAAGAAGAAGAATAAGAAGAAAGCTAAAAAATCCAATGATGATGATGATGATGAACAACAATCAAAAGCGAATGGTTGTGAAACAAATCAACAACCATTATTAGATAATAATAATGAAAATAATGATCAACAACGATCATCATTACCACCATTAACATTACAATCGATTAATTTAAATATTGAAAAAGGTTCATTAGTTGCTATTGTTGGTCATGTTGGTTCCGGGAAAAGTTCATTAATATCAGCATTACTTGGTGAAATGGAATGTATTGAAGGTCGAGTACAGATTAATCATAATTCATCAATAGCATATGTTACACAACAAGCATGGATACAGAATGCAACATTACGTGATAATATTTTATTTGGTAAACCATTTATGAAAAATCGTTATGATTCAATTATTGATATGTGTGCATTGAAACCGGATATTCAAATATTACCCGGTGGTGATCAAACTGAAATCGGTGAAAAAGGTATAAATTTATCTGGTGGCCAAAAACAACGTGTTGCATTAGCTAGAGCTTGTTATGCACAAACTGATATAATTTTAATGGATGATCCATTATCGGCTGTTGATTCACATGTATCGAAACATATATTTAATCGTGTTATATCAAATCGTACTGGATTATTAAAAAATCGTACACGTTTATTAGTTACAAATAATATATCATTATTACCGGAATTTGATCAGATTATTGTATTAAATCATGGTACAATCAGTGAAACTGGTACCTATTCCGAATTAATGTCAAATTCGGGGAAATTTTCCGATTTTGTACGTGAATTTGCATCGAATGAAAAACAAGAAAATGAATTAGATTCTTCAACCGAATTACATCGATCATCAAGTTTAAGTAAAGATGATCCAAGTACACCGATTGCAAAAAAATCTATTGATAAAAAATTAATCGAAATCGAACGAACCGAAACAGGAGAAGTAAAATTTTCTGTTTATATAACATATTTTCGTTCGTTAACTTGTTTATGGGTATTGATAATTTTGTTTGGATTCATCGGTATGCAAACAGCATCAGTATTTTCAAATGTATGGTTGGCAATTTGGTCAAATGATCTAATATCGGCTAATATTACTGATAATGAAATTCAACTAAGAAATCATCGTCTTATTGTTTATGGTGGTCTTGGATTTATACAAGCATTTTGTGTATTGATTGGTGCAATTGCATTAGCCAATGGTGTTGTACATAGTTCACGTACATTACATAGAATATTAATGGAACGTATAATGCGTTCACCGATACAATTTTTCGATACAACACCATTAGGACGTATTGTTAATCGATTTAGTAAAGATATTGATACGGTTGATTCAACTATACCGCATACAATGAGGTAATTTAATTGTTTTTTTATTTTCAGTAATGATTTCTATTTAATTTTGATTTTTTAAATCAATTTCAGAGGATGGGTTATATGTTTTCTTCAGGTGATCTCTACATTCATATTGATTGTCATTGAAATCAATGTTTTCCTGTTGGTTGCCATTCCATTGCTGCTGTTTTATTATCTTATTCAGGTAAGTTTTTTTTTTTTGATTATTTTGAAAATTTTTTCAATTTGTTTTTTTTCGGATTGTAGAAATTTTATGTAGCAACATCTAGACAGCTAAAACGTTTAGAATCGGTAACACGTTCACCAATTTATTCACATTTTGGTGAAACATTATCCGGTGTTTCAACTATTCGTGCATATGGTTGTTCGAAACGTTTTATTCAAGAATCAAATGAACGTGTCGATACTAATCAACGTTGTTATTTTCCATCATTTATTGCTAATCGATGGTTAGCTATACGATTAGAATTTTGTGGTAATATGATTACATTTTTTGCTGCTGCATTTTCGGTTCTTTCACGTGATAAATTTCAATCTCAACCCGGTTTTGCTGGTCTAATTATGACCTATGCAATGAGTGTTACACAAACATTAAATTGGTTAATACGTATGGCATCAGAAATGGAAACAAATGTTGTATCGGTAGAAAGAATTGATGAATATTGTCATATACCAACTGAACGTGAATGGACAAGACCATCAAATTCGGAACCAATAATATCAAAAGAATGGCCAAATAATGGTGAAATTGATTTTGATGAATTTTGTGTCAGATATCGTGATGGTCTTAAATTGGTTCTCAATAATATCTGTATCAAAGTGGAAAGTGGTGAAAAGGTATTTTATAACTTTGTTTGAAAAGAATTTTCTAACAATTTTTTTCCCAACAAAAAAAAAGGTCGGAATTGTTGGACGTACCGGTGCTGGTAAATCAACATTAACATTGGCTTTATTTCGATTACTTGAAGGTTCAAGCGGTAGAATTGTTATCGATGATATTGATATTAGTCTTATTGGTTTACATGAGCTTCGTTCAAAACTTTCAATTATTCCACAGGATCCTGTTTTATTTTCCGGTACAATACGATCAAATCTAGACCCGTTCAATATACAAAGTGATGAACAATTATGGCGTGCATTAGAACATTCTCATCTTAAACAATATGTATCGGGTTTAGAATCCGGATTAGATTATCAGGTTGCTGAAAATGGTGAAAATTTATCGGTAGGACAACGGCAATTAATCTGTTTAGCACGTGCATTATTACGTAAAACAAAAATATTAATATTGGATGAAGCAACAGCAGCAATCGATTTGGAAACTGATTCACTTATACAACGAACAATTCGTAAAGAATTTGCTGATTGTACAATATTAACAATAGCACATCGTTTGAATACAATTATGGATTCGGATCGTGTATTAGTATTGGATAAAGGTCGTGTTGTTGAATATGAATCACCACAACGATTATTATCAGATCGACGATCACGTTTTTTTGCATTGGCCAAAGATGCTGGTCTAGTTTGAAAAAAACGTTTTTGTTTTTCCCAACAACATAATCCATCCAATTTATATATAATCAATTTAGGAATTTTTTTTTCTTTCAAAAACAAACAAAAAAAAACCTGTTATAATTTTTTGTTTTTCGCAATTTGTTTTATTCAAATTTGTTTTTTAAAATTATAATTTTGTTTTTCAAATTTTTATTCCGTTGAAAAAAATGAATAAATTACAATTCCAGTTGATAGATGGCGATAAAAGTCAATGATAATTATTATTCGAATTTCGAATAAATTCGATTATCATTGATGATGATGAGTGATTGAATCCAATGATAAATATTAAAGGTTGTTTTTATTTTATTTTATTTTTTTGGTGGTGAAAATATTAAAAAAGATTGGTTAAAATACATACATACACACACATTCGGGAAAATATCAAATAACAATGAAAAATGAAAACGAAAACAGAAGAAAAAAAAATTGAATAATGTCAAGTCCAAAACAACAACAACTAAAATGTTACCATCATTATCGATGATAATCAAATTAATTAATTTCCGTTTTGATCATATCATTCATATGATGATGATGATGATGATGATTATTGATATTAAATGAATTCGATGTCGACATTGTTGCTGTGGTTGTTGACGATAATGATGATGTTGATGTTGGTGCACAACTAAGTCGTTTTCGTGGTTGTAATGGATTTACACTATGTGTTCAGTAATATTGACGAATATGTATTTCAACATTATTCTGAAATGTATCATGATTATCTAAATGTATCATTTCCCTGATTGTTGTTAATGCATTCAATAATGATTCAAATTCATATGAACTTATTTCACAATCACGAAAACCACGTAAATGTACCAATAAACATATTAAATTTATGATTAAATTTCTCATTTTTTCACTAACTTTAAATTTTCCCTGTAATTTTTCAATCAATTGTTTGGATTCAATTTGATATTTTTGTGTTAATATATCTGGTCGAAGACTTTTTAATTTACCATCCGATGCAACCTGTAAACTATAGCTTTGAATTTTTTTCAAATAAAAACCAAGTTCTTTGTTTGTTTGTTCCAATTCTAATATAGTTATTGCATATTGTTTTTTAAATGTTAATGATATTGGTAATGATAATGTTTTCATACGTTCAATTTTTGTATTCATTGCCTGTAATTCAGTTAGTTTACGTTTTTTTAATGTTAATATTTTTGATGCTTTTACCATATAGGTTAGAAATTTGATTGGAAATCCACCAATACTTTGATCAAATTCTAATATTCTTGTACGATGTTTACCGATAATTATTTCACCCGTTGGAAATGATTGTTGTTGTTTATGTTTAATTGATGATTTTGATGTTGTTTTTGATGTTGTTGATGCTGTTGCTGCTATTGTTGATGATGATGTTGTCGATGATGATATTGATGATGATGATGATGATGATAAATGTGGTTCGACTGTTGCAATCGAATCAACAATACGATTCGATAGATTCCATTGTTTTCTTGTTTTAATCTGAAATGTTGATATTGGTACTAATTGTGGTATATCGGATGATGCTATTTCATAATCCGGTATTGTTAATGAACCTAATTCATCACGATTAAATCGTACACGATATGTACCATTGGATGGATTAATACCTTCAATCGTACCGTAATGTAAACCTTCATGTTGTCGAGCTAATGCACAAACACGATCACCAACAACTAATGGTTGTGGTAAAAATTCCGGTAAATCTTTATAAACATTAATATCGGGTACTTTATTCTGTTGTAGAAAACGAATTTTACTATGTTTAGTATTTAATGTTGTTAATTCTTCATCGAAAAATGATGCCGAACAACGACGTGGTTTTCCCATTAATCTTCGTATCTGTGACCATTCCATCCGAGTTAAATATCTTGTTTTCAATTGTGGAAATGAATCTTTCAAACATAAACTAAATTCATTTTCATCCAAAAATAATACCTGATCAATACTACCATAAAACCATTCCAATACAACCCAATTATATGCTTTTGGTAATTTTAATAATGTTTTCAGGCTATTCATTATATTATTACCAATATTTTTATTAAATTTTCCTTTATAAACAACAATAGATTCTTCTTGTTGTTGTTTATTACCCACTGTATTATTATTATTATTGTTGTTATTATTATTATTCATTAATGATTGTCTTGATTGTTTAGATAGATTTGACATTGACGAAATTGAATATAATGGCATACGATTTGAACCAAATGATGTTTCTTCATCTTCATTATAAATTAAACGATTCTTTTTTCGATTACGAACCGGATGACCAACACGATTTGATTGTGACATGATTATTCGATATCGATTAATTATTCAAACAAAAAAATATCAACAAGATTCTTTAGATATGAAAACGAAAACCGCGCTCCAATAAACCATCCAAACGAACAAAATATTAAACAAAATCAACCACACCAGTTATAGCAGCACTGTCTGTGTGTGTTTTGGGTTTCGAACACATCGAACACACACAGGGGAAAGCAGGACACACCAAACTCAAAATAGCAAAAAAAAAGCAGCGACTATTTTATCCCTACCCATGTCGATCAATCAAAATAGTCGAAAAGAATATTCGATTGAAAAAGAATTTTGAAAAAAAAAATTTTGATTTTGCAAAAAATAAAAAATAAATCAATTTTATTAAACTAAATTATAACGAATCGATAGCGAAAAAATTTATTCAAAAACAACAAAGTTTGAATATTCAAAAAATAGTGAGAGAAAGAAAAAAATTGAACACGATTTTTTTTGTTTTGTTTTGTTTTTGATGTGGAAAATAAATGTTTTTTCTCACAAAAGTTTTGCGGTTTTTTTTCTGTTTGTTTTTGTTTGTTTTTGAATTTATATTAATGTGCTGCTTGTGGAATATAAAAGTTTTTTTCAAGGTTTTTTTTTTAAAAAAAAATAATGTAATAAGAGGCAAAAGAAGAAAATATGCCGGGAAAAGAAAATTGTCGGAAAAGAAAACAATTTTTCGGGAAAAAGAAAATTGCCGGAAAAAGAAAATATTCGAATCGAATGTTTTCCTTTCGAAAAAAACATTCGAAACAAAAAAAAAAAAATTCCAAATCATCATTTGTAGTTGCCTGTTTCTGTTGTTGTTGTCCAGTTAAATAAACGATAATATCGATAATATTTTGTATTTTGTTTCCGGCTAGTTTTTATTCATTTTGTTTTGGTTTTGTTTAATTATATTTACTTAACATTTCTAATACCTGTGCAATAATATTATCACGTTCCGGATCATTTTCTAATGATGGATCTATTAGTAAATTTTTACCTTTTATTTGTTTAACTACTTTATAATTTGTTGTACCATAATCAACAAATGATGTTGATTGTTGATTTTGTTCATTATTATCATTATTATTATTAGCTATTGTTGTTGATGATAATAATCGATGATTTTTTAAATTTCCTTGATTATTATTGTTATTATTATTATCGGTGACAAAAGAAATCTTTACTGGTTGTTGTTGTTGTTGATCATCATCATCAAGTATTGTTCTACCTGTTGATGAATCTTTACCATTCAATGATGATGATCGTGAAATTTCTTGTGTTGTATCTAAAATATTGATTGGTGATTCAATCGTAACATAATGATTTGGTGCAATTTGTTTTGTTGATTTACTACGACGTCCATTATTATGATTTTTTGCTAAACTTTGTGCTATTAATTGTTCATATTTTGTTAATGGTGATGATGTTGGTGATAATATTGAACCATGATGATTACTTGATCCAGTTGTTGAATAATGATCAATACTTTTATTCAATGGCGATGGTGGTGGTGTCAACGATATTAACTGTTCATTTACATGATTAAATGCTTTTAATGTTGGTTTTCGTTGCTGTTGCTGTTGTTTTTGTTGTCTTTGTTCAACTAAACGTAAATATGTTGATGGTATTGATGATTCTAATTTTGATTGTTTTTGATTTTCAATATAAATCTGTGAAAATGTAGCCGGTGTAAATGGTAGATGCGTTTTACGTATGCCAATCGGTGTTTGTTGATGCGATTGCGGCTGCTGCGGTTGATCAATAATATCCAACAATAATGGCCGATTTGTTGATGTTTCAATATTCGATGATAATGGTGTATAATTTTTTAAAATCTGTGAATATTTTGATGTTGGTTCAGGCGATTTAGATGATGTTCGATATGCTGTTTTCATTAAATCCTGATGCGAATGATGACTGATGGTCGATGGTGAATTTGTTCGCAATGGAACATAATTTATATTATCATCCAGTTGATATGATGTCGATGTCGGCGTCGATGTTTTTGGTTTCGGATGATATTTATTATTATTCAAGAAGGATGTTGTTGTTGTTGTCGTTGTCGTCGTCGTACTACCATCATCATTATCAACATTGGTTATATAGGTTTTTGGTTGTTGTTGATGATGATGATGATCCAGTTCATATGGTGGTGCACGTGGAATTTGTTGTTGCTGTTGCTGCTGTTGTCGTCGATAATGAATTTTTGCTGTTGTTGTTGTTGAATCGTTTGGATGCTGTTGTTGTTGTTGTTGATGATGATAATTACGACGATAAATATCATCAAATTTTATTAAATGATCATCAAGGTTTTGATCACTATTAATCATGGATGATATTAAGCGATTACGACGTTCATTTCGATCCAGTTGCTGGTGCTTTGGACGACGATGATGATGATTATCATCGTTGGAAATTTCAATTTTATGATTATGATGATGATAATCATGATAATCATCATCATCATCATTACTTTGAATTGGTTTTCGGGTTCGATGAATTTGATTTTCGGTTAATAATGATGATAATGATTGTGGTAGTGCTGTTGATGGTAGCGATGATTGCGGTGATTCATGGTTGAATAATAATGTTGTTAATGTTGATTGTTGTTGATATGACGGTGGTGTTGATGGTGTTGGTAACGGTAACGGTGTTGATTGTGTAATCATTACAGGTGTTAATGATGTTTTTGGTTGCTCTTGTCGTTGATAATGATCATATGGTGATGATGATACTGGTGATTGGCTTGGTTTAAATATATCATCATCGGTAAGAAAAAATGCTTTTGGATCACCATTACGTTTATTGAGGTAAAAATATGCAGGTGATTTTTCACATGGTATTGAATCATCCAATCGTGTACATGTGAATGACATTTGATTGAATACAGTACCATTTACACAGGAAAATGTATGCTTTACAAATGACTGGAAACAACGTTTTTTTTGATTCAGGTAAAAAAGGGGAATCAGGTAAGTCAGGTAGTTCAGGTAAAAGGTAATTCAGGTAATTAATTGATTAATCATTTTAGAAAGATAAGGTTTTCAAGAATAATTTACCGGTTTATCGAATGGATTGTTGGCATTTTCACATACATGATAAAATTGGCATCTTTTTACGAATAAAAAAGTTTTCAAGAATTTATTTTCAAAATCGAAAAATTGATTTTTGCTTTGAAAAAAAAATGAAACATACCCATAAGCAACATCGGCAAAATAACCATCACTTTGACAACGAAATGCAGCATTTGCCTGTTCAATACTATTCAATGATATTGGCTCCTTGATTGTTGATTTGGTTTGATTGATTGATTTGACATTCGTTTCAGCAAAACAGCAGAAAGCAGACAAGGTTAGAAAGGAAGAAAAAAAAATTCAGATTAATCATTTTGGATGAAAAAAGGTCGAATCAGAAAAATCACGGTGGCCATAAATCAAACAAAACATTTAAATCATATGTCATTAATCAAATTTAACAAATCTAGATCACCACATGGTCATCATCAAACAAAAAATCTAAATCCTTTTTGATTATCAACAGCAACAACTAAAATGATGATTTATCAATCAATCAATCAATCAATCAATAAGTTCCGCAATCCATCAACCAAGTCTGTGTGTGTTTGTTTGTAATTGAAAAAAAAAATCCAGATGTCCTTTTGCATAATCTAATTTATCTTTTGAATGAAACAAAACAATTTTCCGTTCGTTTGTTTGACAAACTTTTGATGCAAAACTTTTTTTTCAAAATATCATCATTATTTCAGGTGAAATCACCTGTTTCACCTGAATTTTGTTGTTTTTCCTGGTTTCTTTTGGTCGAAATTGAATTAAACTTTTTACTTCTTTGTTTTGTTATCATTTAACGAGAAAAACGTTTTACTTATTATGACCGAAAAAAGTGTAAAAAAAACAACAGACAAAACAAAATTTTATTTGTAAAATTAATTACAACTAATTATTATTATTATTATCTTTTTTTTATTTTTATTTTACAACCAAGTAAACGACGACAAAATTCAAATGAAATCATCATCATCATCATCATCCCTGTAGAATGATTCAAAATGTGAACGAAAAGAAAAGAAAATTTCTTTATTATTTTCTACAGGTGTTATCATCATTTCAGCAAACAAACGAAACGAAAAAAAAAGTCACCCTGGAATGAATGAATGGAAAGAAAATTGAAAAAAAAGAAAATCACTTAACCAACCAACCATCATCATCATCACCAAAAATGATGCTAATAATGACCACCTTGCACGTAAATAACACACAAAAAAAACTTTTGGTCATTATTATGATGATGATGATAATAAAAAAAAAGGTTCATCATCTCTGGTATGGTGTTTTTGATTTGCATTCAAATCACTTATGTCCAAATTACTTTCTTTTTTTTTGGTTGTTGTTGTTGAACAACTAACCCGTTTGTTCCTATTCCTAGATATCTGGATCGCAATTTTCAAGCAAAAGTAAAAGTTTTTCATCATCATCATCATCATCATCACTTTTGATTAATGAAAAAATAAATGATGTGGATGGATTGATGGATGGATGAATGGATAATTGCTGTTTGCACATTGGAAAAACAACCCGGGAATAAAACACACACACACACACACACAGAAGAGAAGATACCTATTTTAACCGAAATTGTTTTTCAATGATGATAATTTTTTTTCGGGATAATAACCGTCTTGAATAATAATAACCGAAAGAAAAACGTAGTAATTCGGAAATTAATAAAAAAAAAAAATAGTTTTTATTTTCGGTTTTCATTAACCGTTGAAAAGATTTTTTTTTTGAAAGAAACTTTCCGAAAATTTGATTTTTTTTCATTTTGGTGAATTACGTAATGATGTAATTAGTGATGCACTTTAATTTTCAATGTAAATACGATCGTGATTTTTTTCAATTTTAATTATAAAAAAAACTAATTAATTCAATGTTGAAATTACGTAAAAAATTACGTAATCTTTCCTGATGATTTGGTTTTCTTTTCGCTTTCTTTTTCAATCGAATCAATCGATCAATCAATCAATCGATCAATGAATCGAAAAAAAAAACAAATCAATAACGAAGATGAAACAAAATTGATTGATTGATTGATTTCGGTATCGGATTTAGATCAAACAAAGCAGAGCTTTTTTTTTCTCCTTTCTTTCTAATTATTAGCTAATCGATTTTAATCGATTGGACTTACCTCTTCAATCATATTATTATTGATTATATAATCTTGATCATTATTATTAATTTTATAACAATTTATAAATGAGATATTTGTAATCATCATTATAATGAATAATTTGATGATATTATTATTATTATTGGTGGTGGCCATCGTCCTCGTTGTTGCTCTCGTTGTTGTTGTTTTCATCCAATAATCTGTCGATAATGATGATAATCTGATTGATTTTTTGAAATTCATTTTTGCTGTTGTTGTTATTCGATGATTTTTGAAACAAAAAAAAAAAAAAAAAAAAAAAAATTTCCTGGGAAAAATTTTTTTTTTGGCCCCCGTTTGTTTGTTTTTTTTGGTGGGTGTCCGGAAATTTTTTAGGAAAAAAT